GCAATAGTATACAGGTGCAATTGTCGTGGGTTCAAACGTAATGGAAGCCCTTAGTCCATTTCAAGCCCTGAACGGCTGGATGTTCGTTAGGTCTTAAAGTACAGTACCTGATTAAGAACTTCGCAGTTTACACGTTCCGTAATTTGACAGCAGGCCTATAATTTAGCAAAATTGGATAGTAAAATGGAGGCAAACAAGTCAATGCTCTATATCGCCTTGCAGAAACTTCATTAGCAGCGCATTTAACACGTATAATATCGGAAAGACAGCAGAAAATTTCTCATTAAATTGGATTGTCTTCTTTTGCACCGCCTACTTTTGTCGTAACTGCATTCTTGTGTTTTTATGTTTTGTGTTCGTGATATTTTTGGCTAATTTTGAGGTCCGTCGATCCGAAAAATTTGTTTGAAGTTTTACCTGTCCGCGAACTGAAAAAGGTTGAGAACCACCGCTCTAAGCTGATATTTAATCAAAGTTTGAAGTAAATGGGCACTATGCAGCAAAGCATTCCAATGAACTTTATAGAAGTTTAAAAAACGAGAATATACGTTCTCCTCGAGAAATAGCTGTGGTAGACTAAGCGCAGCGGCGCAATGGAAATGGGATCAAATGTCGCAGAAACACCAATTGTTGTCTATTGCCAAATGTTACTTACTTGCTTGCTTCCGTTGATCCTGTCCAGGGTCATTGAAGGAAGCTGAATTTGTTGGCTCAGTAGGGGAGGGAACTGGAGAAGCTAATTGCTCCACTTTGCTCGATTGATTACCTTTTTTTTCTTCATCTTCCTGCTTTCCCCCTGATTGTAAATGATAGACAATTCGAAATTAATTGATCTGGCTCAACACGTTTGCACGTTATCTACCGTTTTCCCCGAAAATAAGACAGTGTCTTATTTCAATTTTCTTTCGAAAAATATCACTAGGGCAAATTCGGGGGATGTCTTATAATTTTATTTATCAAAAACAAAACTAGAAAGTACAGAATTAGGAGATTTTCAAATACAAAAAATTCTAAAACCAATATCCATTTACTTAAATCACACGTATTCCTCTCTCACACGCTTTAGATTAATCATTTATAACGTATGGGAGAGATTTCTTGCCATCGACCAAGTAAAAAAAAATTTGCGTTCTTGACTGGGTCTTATTTTAAGGGTAGGGCTGATATTAAAATCATTCCCTGAAATTTAGGCTATAGGTCTTATTTTCAGGGTAGGTCTTATTTTCGGGGAAACTCGGTAGTTTTATTTAACTTAATCAATTTTCGTTAACTTAACAAAGAAATGAGTGCTCAAAAAGCTGATATTTAATCAAAGTTGAAAATAATAGGCAATATGCAGCAAACTAGTTCAATTAACCTTAGAAATTTAAAAAAATCCAGAATATGCGCTGTTTCAAGTTCTGCCCTTTTAAGTTACATTTTCATATTGTATTTCGTTGAAATATGTTTATTTCTATGTATCCTTTAATTGGCATACAATCGCGCTTATAGGTTTGTTTAAAATTCACTGGTTGTTTCCACTCAGCAGAGTTTTTCACGCATGCATGTAAACATGGTCTCGCTTTGATTGATACGCATGCAATTTTCATTTGTCTTTCCGAAATTCAAGTACAAATCAAATAACTCAGTGATCATTTTGCCTCCTAGGTGTTCTAGTTTAATCGTAGTAATCAAACAACAGGCGAGAAATATCTGTGATACACTAAGCCACGGGTCGGCAACCTTTAGCATTGAAAAAGCCATTTAGCATCCTTTTAATCAAACTCAAACCAACTCGAATGTATGTGACCAATAAAACTCACGGAAAACCACTTGTGATGCAATAATCTAGTTCAGGGTGGCGGGCCGCGAAAACTTTTGGGAATGTTTCGCGGGTCGCAGTCGGAGAAAACTCAAAAGTGTTCAGAACATCGCGAGTTTACTCACTTTGAAATATTCAAGAATTAGGGTTTACCGTTCTAATCAGTTTTTTGAGGAAGATATATAAAGCCTTTTAATTATTTTTAAAATTGCTTTCCGAGAAATACAGTGATATTTTGGTATCTTTTCTCGTGTTTGGTTTTGTAATATCGCTTAAAATTTTGTTCCTTCGTGTCATATATCACCTGAAAATAACATACACTGTGATTTAACGTTGGTGCGAAAATCCTTTTCCTACCAGTTTTCTTATCTAGGCCACCTTTTTTCTACACTCATTTTTATTACGAATCGTTATATTTGACTAATTATATTACATTATATTATTATGTTACATTATATATTATGTTATATTATATTATAGTTGGAACTCCGGGCCCAGCTGAAAAACTGCCAAGTCAGCTCCGCGGTTCGTCACTGCTGTCACATGGCTAACGCTCGAAAGTATAGAAGTGTTTCACTAAAATAAAGGAACAAAACGTTTTTCAAATGCGGAAAAACTTGACGCGAGCTTAAGGTACGAGGTTTAGATAGAGAGCGCGACTCATCTCATCGACTTGGTCCTGTCTGCACAAGACAATTCATTCTCCTTAAACCTATCCCGGGACGTCATTCCCATATTAGCACCGTCTTGACGTTGAGAGTTGCAAAATTGAAATTCCGTGATTTCAACAAACATCAATCCCGACATCGGAATTAGGAGAGGGCTATTACCAGTTGGAATTGTTCTGCTGGTCGCGCGGAATGTGTCGGCGCCGCAGTTTGGACCACCCTGATCTAGTTCTTACTACGATGAGGCCAAATGAAATACGAATTATGCAATAGTTCAGTCTATGACTAAATGAGAAGATCTTGGGAAATTAAAAGAAAAAGTGTGTTCTAAAAGACTTGAATCACTTTGAATGCTACCCATTTCCGCCGCTCGCGACTTATACTTTGGAAACCGTGAGGATGTGTAATTAGCGAGATGTATTTGGCCATATGTCTTTCATTGAATCCTTAAGTTTCTAACAAAAAACTTGCTGTAACCACTTTAATTCACGAGAGTAAGAGCTCCGAGAACAATGAACCGAATGCGGCTTCGGAGCCGCAGGTTTCCGATCGCTGGACTAAACATCTTTTCTACTTGCGAAACAACTCGTAAAATATGCATAAAAAAATTTCGGAATTACCGACAGTCATAACCTTTGGCCTATTGCGACTTCCGCATTCGTCGATGCAAAAAAAGGGGGACGCCTGCGATTTCTTGCTATGAACGTTAACGCGTTCACGCACCTACCGTATAATAAGTCTCGCTTGCAATATTTCTTATAACTACTGGAATGTAACAGTGTTGTAGCGGGAACTAAAAAATATGATTTGAAAAACCAAATATAATCTGAGGCAGTATGTCATTTTAGTATTGAATAATAACGTATTGAAATGGGTGGTATGGTTCCCTTGAATACAGGTGCGGTGGTAGCTGATCAAAAAGTATGCCAAAGCGCAGAAATGAAAGAAACTTAACCTATTCACTTTACTTATGCCAATGCCCAATGATATAAGTATTAGTTATAAGTATAAGTTTATTTCATTGCCATAATCAGCATAATAGACGATAAAGTAAATGATAAAAACAAATAAAATTGATTATAGAATCGGGAGAGCAAACAAAACTTCAAGTAAGATTTGAAACGTGCGGATTTTAGATGGAAAGGTATTGTTGAAAGAAGTAGTGAGTGTTCACTCACTCAAAAGTATTTAAACGAATTAGGGCACGCGCGATTATTTTACAATTGAAATATTCTATATAACAGTTCAGCATTTTACACCCTTAGGAATAAAAATCACTCATGTTATGGAAAACATTGGAATACTTGATGGAATTTATTCAGTTGTGTGGGGTATATAATTTATTATTTGTTAGAACCCGATTGGATCCGCCTAGCCATGAATGGGTACATTGTGTCATGTGGGTCATGAATTGACTCTAGTTTATTTATTACATGCCCCTAGGCCCCTTCCTAAGGTCCGCAATACAAGCCGAAATGGTCCATCGCCAAAATATGTTTTAGTTGGGCATGCCTAATCGTAACTTCTTGGTAATGATTACTTTACGCCTTCCGAATGTATGATCTAGTAATAATAGGTCATTGCCTCATCTGAACGAGAGAATACGTCACAGAAATAGAAAAAGGTTGTCGTGAGTTTTGGAATTTGAGTATTTATATAAAGTTAGAATTTATAACTACGTAATTAGATTTTCCAAAGTGTGGTGATGGGCGAGACGTGATGTATAGAACCCTATATTGACCATTCCACATAGAAAATATTGCTTTCAAGTATATAATCTCAATGAAGGAGATATTGAAACGACCATCTGGGTTTATTCGGTCATTCACACATTGATGCCAAAAAAATTATGTTTATGACGTCACAGTTTTAGAAAAAAAAAACGGGGAGCCCACATCTTTTGAAGACAAAATGTCCCATCTTATTTCGATTCAATTCAAAAACCCACCACGGTAGGGAGAATAGCGATATCGCTCTTTGGCAGCGTCACGCGGAAAGAGCTCTAGTAATCCATTTAGAGATACTTGATTGGTAATTCTAGCACGTTTGAACGGGGAGGAACAACTGTTTATATAGAAAGTGTAAAAATCCTTGAGGGACCACCGGGTTCAAAGAGAAAACTTGCGTAAATATAAGGAAAGTATTATTGTTTTTCTTCTGTTAGTAATTGCAAGGTTCCAGGCAAAGTGGGTAGTTAACAAGTTGCTAGCCATTAGTTCAGTATTTTTTTAGATACTTCAGAAGTTTATATCATTCTGTAAGAGCAAGTTCAGAAGTCTATAATTGTAAACTTGGTGAACCCCTTTACTGTCAAAGTAAAATCAAGGGTGCTCCTGAAGTATGTGCACTTGGTACACACACTAAGTTCCGGTAGTGCGTCATCTTCACATACTTCAAAAGGTCCAAATCAAGTTGTCAAGGTAACACTGAACTGTTCATTAATTATTCTTCAGTAATTTGATTGCTATTTCAATCAATGTTAAGCATGTTTAGTCAATGTACAGAAAATTTGGTGATCATGTTGTAAGAGCTCAAGCATGGAGGTCTTCTTCAGCTTCAGTGTTCCAATTGTGAACATCTGAAACAAAAAGTAGTATACTTACATAAATCAATCTGTTTGTATATGCCAGGGCTTCCCAAACTTTTGAGCTCGCGTCCTCTTTCAATATTTTAAAAAATTTCCCCTGTGATAATGCTAAACAGTTCGAAATATACATTTTTGATATTTTAATGATACAGTGAATTTTTCTCTTTTAGTGGGCCCATCGATAACAAAAACAAACACGTATTTATTCAGATGAACCTCACTCATCAGTGTGATGGGTGCGACTTCCTTTTGCCGCACAGCAAGTCCAGTCGTAGTTCGCTGTTTGTTAATGCAGGCCTCAATTATAACGAATTACGATGTTTGGCCACCGACGGCATGTTCCTATCCCGCCATTGTTACTCACTTTTAATGATCAAATCTGGCATGAGGCAACGGTTCGTGTGGCGCATAATTATCAGGTAAAATTACCAGCGCACCTACCCGAAAAAATCACTTATGTTAGCTAAACTCGGTTAAGCAAATTGTAGCGAGGGTTTACATCTACTGTTACATCACAATATACCCTACGTAACGAAGGTAAAATGGGGTTATTTATTCATATACGAGAAGTTAATATTTAACACAAATCTCCTAATTTTCGAGGCGCATCTCTAGCAATTCGTCTTCGGGGACCACTGGCTTAACGATTGAAGCCGGCATTGTTATGCAAGCACGCGCAAATCGGGTTTTACGAGCAGAATAGGTGTGTTGTTATGCAAGCGCGATATTTCTACCCTGTTTCTCCCCAAAAAAGACCTGGTCTGAATTTTAAAAATGATTTTAATATAAGCCCTCCCCTGAAAATATATGAGACCTAGTCAATAGCGCATATTTATTTGATGGGTCCATAGAAAAATCTTTCCTACTCACTTTAAATGGTTCGGAATCTATGTTTAGCAATTATTAAAAATAAAAAAAAAACGTGTCATTTATAAGTAAATGGAAATCGGTTTTCAAAAGAAATCCCCCCAAAATAAGTCCTAGTGTTATTTAGTGAAAAAAATTGAAGACAAGGTCTTATTAAAAAAAACACGGTATGATGATGTATTCACTCGGAATCGTGAGATTTTTGTTTAAAACTAGTTTTAAGTATTTCGAATCAAGTCTAAAAATATAAATAGATATAGTACTTGTGTAGAATTGGTGTTATCTTTGCTGCCCCTAAAATTCGTTTCGCGGCTCTTAGTTTGGGAAGCCCTGGTATATGCAATTGTTTGTGAGCACAGTTTTCATCTAAGTTAGGCATACCGGTAGTATTATTGCATATAAAAAATATTAAAAACTCATCGAATCTTACCTTATACCTTTTGAAAAAGAATACCCCCCTTGTAGCATAGCAAACTCTGAGCTCCCTGTTATCCAACAAGATAGGCCTACCATATCCCAAATGTGTACGTTATTTATACTAAATACCATAGCGTCTCGGAAAAGCTTTTTCAAATAGTATGTCTATAAGTCCCCTTACAAAACACCATTACTTTCCATTTTTAAAGGAAACATTGCAAGTCAGACCAAGGCACGTTAACGTTCAGAGCGAGAAATCGCAGGCGTCACCTCTTTTTGCATCGACCAATGCGGAAGTTGAAACTGGTCAAAGGTTATGAATGTCGTTAATGCTAAAGAAAGGGAATTTTTAGGAGGTCAAAGGTCGGAGAAACGCCAAATGTTGTTCATTGCATAGCGTTACTTACTTGTCTGCTTCCGTTGATCCTGTCCCGAGTCATTGGAGGAAGCTGAATTTAAGGTAAATAGAGAAGCTAATTGTTCCACTTTACTCGATTCAGCACCTTTTTCATTATCTTCTTGCATTTTCCCTGAAATAAGAGCAAGAATGTTTCACGCTTTTTCTTATGGGTCCTTCGTGAGGCCACTCAACAATGAATTCATAACAAATACGTCTTGTTGTCATGGTAGTCGTATTCGAGTTATGTAAATGACATTATGACGTTTCAATTTTTTCAAAATTGCTTGAAATACGAAATTTTAGTTGCAAACAAGATGCGTAAGCTAATCGTCCGAGCTAGATCGGATATCGTGTGTCCCGGAAAATAAGATCTAGCTTGAATTAAAAAAAAAAAAATCGCCTTAAAAGTAATCGATAGCGCAAAGAAAAACGCATTTTTTATAGGTATATAGATGTCGGTCATAATATTTTGTATATTTGAATATCTGGTAAATCTCTACTTTGTAATTTTGTTTTTGAAAAATGAAAATAAAAGACAATTCCCCAAAATAAGCCTTAATTTTATTTTTCGAACGAAAATTGAAATAAGACATTGTCCTATTTTTGGTGAAACACGTTAGTAAGTTGAATTTTAAAACACTCAAGGCTCTAAAAAAGTTCTGTTTAATTAAATAATGTTTTTTTACTTACTTTGGTATAAATCCTCATTCGTCAGGAATGCATCGAAAGGTGCCTCATGACAAATATTATCGCCGGATGCGATGACAAGTTGCAGTAAGTGCTTTCCTGCTTCGGTCGACACCAATCTAGCTTTATGTTGGACGGACGACTGCCTAGCCAGGTCATTATACGAAAATAATTTTTTATCTGGCGCGATCTCCGCAGCATCATCGAGAGAGACAATTAAGCTAAGAATTTTTGGCCGACGGGGCAACCGCACGTCACCCTGTTCGACGATTTTATATCCATCTTCGACGATTCGGTGGCCAGAGTTTGCGGTGTCTTCCAACGAGTAGATAACTATCACCCACACACCCTTTATGAAGATCTGATACTTGATCAAAAATTTGTCTCCTGAAAGGAAGGCCCGCCATTGAGAACTAATCTATATTGTAGTTTTACACTACCTGTTCCAAATTTCGACCAAATAGTTTTTTTTTTAATTTCAAGTTGTAATTATAAATTGTTAAAGCCTCAATTCTACTTTCGGCCTTTTTTGAAGTTAGCAGATGAAGTAGAAATTTTTAATAGATAAAGAAAAAGCCAAAGTTTATACTAAAAGTTGAAGTTTCCCCTAATTTGAAAATAACGTCTTTCCGAGTTTAATATATTATATATATATATATGTGATTTTATGTATATATACAACAATCGACGTTCAATCGAAAGAAAAGACTACCTTCCTGGCTTCCGCCGCAACATAGTGAACCCATGATGAAGGTGATTTTTGATTCTGGATTGTTTTAATACGTCAAAGAATTTTAACCATCTAGGTGCACTGTAAATATAAGCAAAAACATTCAACATTATTGTAAAAGAGCAAATCTATACATTAATTGTAAATTGTAGTAGTAATAGCCATGCTCTCACTGACTGTCCCGTACTACTTCCTATTCGACAATAATTCTGTGCCCGGTTTGGTTGTAATAATTTCATTACATCTAGTGTTTTTGACATCAAATGGAAGTTTTCTAATTTCGGAAAGAGTTCTCTGACAACAAGAAAAATATCCTGCCCTTACTTCCTGGGATTGAATCAAACTATCAGTATGTCCCTCCAACTATTGCATCAAAATATTGTTCAGCACAAGTCCGTACATCATAGTCCCAATTAATTTAGCAGATTAGATTTTCAAACAAAGAAAAATATTATTCTTATTTGTACTTTGAAAATCATGTGAGCTTAAATTCGAATAAATTAAAAAGCGTCGGTCTTTTAACTCTTAGTTTCATGTATATATTTAAATATTTTTATGCATGAAAGTACTGTTAGTTCTGTGAATTTATAACGGAGAAATCCTAGTTTATTTGCACGATATACTGCGTGATCAAGTGCCGTTTCGCAAGGTGACTCTGATAAGGTGTTTGTCTGCAAACTTCAAATATGAGGGAATTACTCCTGATGTATTTATATATTAATTAGGAGATACGCAGAACCGCTGTGGTCGACGGGGAGCGTGTACACCAAAGTGTGTAATTAAACAAGCCCAAACCTTGAGTTCGTTTTCATCATTTGACTAATGCCACGTACTTAGGCAACGGTACCAGAATTATGAACCTCTAAACTCATTTTCACTAAACCCTGCAAGTTCAAATTACAGCTTTGCCTTTAACACTTACAAACAGGTCAGGATTGGAGTCGTATATTAAATTGCACGATGTTGGAGTCGAATTTTGGAATTCCTCGGGGTCGGAATTACAGATTTGGACGAAATTTCTGAAGCTGTGTTTTTCAAGATAGGTTCTGTGATACCCTAGGGCAGGGCTACTCAACTATTTTCACAAAAGGTTCGTTTACGAAACTTACAAAATTACTGGGGTCCGGACATTACAGAAAATTTATTTCATCAAATAAACGAAACTTCAAATGCAATATCAAACTAAAGCAAGCAAGAGCAATGAATGGCACGCAAATAATATCGCACATCGGTACCAGTACGACAAGCTGTATAGCTGTGTATTCAAATTGTATCAAAATCATCTAAAATTATAAAACAATGCTTATGCTGCCAAAATAAACAAGCAAAGCGGTCCAAATCGACTGAGTAAGTTGAGAACCCCTGTTCTGAAGTTGGCTGAACAGTAGACAATTAAAGAAGGTTGCATTAGACCAAAGTTTTTGATATCAAAGTTTGGATTTCTCGGAATTCAAATCTAGAGTTGGAGTCAAAACTTTTTGACAAATTACAGTCGGAGCCGGATTCGTTTTTTTTTTTAATTTATTCGAGTTTAGAGTCGAATCCGAATGTACGCGGCATATATCGCCAAGAAGGTATTCGAGTAGCCTACCATACGCTCTATTCAAAATTTAATAATGGATTCTTGTAGGTATCGGACAGGTTTCCTCTTTTAGAACATAACTTTTGAAACGACGAATATAATTCTTGTCGTCATCTGCGGTGCACGTAACCAGTGGAGTATCTAGGGTGTGGCAGTTGGCAGCCATGGCTCGTTCCACGGGCGCCGTTTAAACAGGGTCGCACAAACGACAAAAAGTTTTAATTTTTTTTTTTATTTATTTAAAATAATTTCAAATTGAAAATACCTGAAACTCGTATTTTTACTCGAATAATAGGACACAAGTATGTCATTTTAATAACAGTCTATATAAATTTTCAAAAAACTATCAAAGGGGTCGCATTTTGAACTTTGCCGTGGGCGTAATGTTACGTAAATACGCCACTGCACGTAATCCTCTTTCTGCGGTCGTCAGATAACAAAAATCAAGAACGGGTTATATCACTACTAAGCTATTTGCTCGACTGTATTTGTGAGTTCATATTGTAATCCTGGGAGTTCAGTGTAATACAAGAAATGAGGTATTCCTGTAGTCGACGTAGTCCACAATCGGAGTCGGATTCACTTTTCAATTTGCTCGGAGTTTGAGGCGAAGCTGAATGTGAAATGCTATAATACAACACTGTATATATAGACAATATTCGAGTACAGTGTGCTTCAACCTTTTTTATCTTGGTATATATACCTTTTACAATTTTTCAAGAACTTTGTATACCTTACAAATACCAATGTTTATTTAAGGCTTAAATAAACATCAAATTTTAAACACATATTGTACTGCAATATCATCATGCAATCTAATAGGCTAGTGACCGCAAGTTTTAAATTTGACTGATGCCTTAGCGTCAACGGGAATTTTTTTCAACATTAATGAAACGAAGTGCATGGCAGCCGAAATCCACAACCCAGTCACGTGACCGCATTATCTATATAATTTGTGATGTAACAAAGTGCTCACGTTGGTTCTTTGCGTAAATGGCATTTTATATTTCATGTGCGCCGCGTTTGCATTGCTGTCTTCGCTTAAATATTTTATAATGTTGTATACCCAACTTATGGTCCGTTATACACTTGGGTATATCATACACCCGGTTGAAGAGCACTGTTCGAGTATATGCAGTCGCTCGCTATAGGCAGTGATGAGATTCAAAGGTTTTAATAATAGGTTCTTCTTTGTATCGTATTAATAACACACCTGCTTTACTGATAACTCAAAGCAAACAAAGTGGTAACTTTCCACCCATGCTCTTTTATTATTTTGTTCAATTCAGTCTGCTAAATCGGGAAATACCCCATTAGGCTCAAAGCAGGCCGAAAGTTAATTAGCCTACATGTAATTATTATTAGGCGATATTGGTTGTTTGACAACATTTATTATTCTCTATGGTTTGACTACCGAAGCTTCGCTTATCAATAATAACAGTATACTCTGATAATCAAAATGTTAGAACTTAAAATGTTTAATTAGATACTCGAACCTCGGGTGTCGCTGCTAGATAACCAAGCTTTGGTTCCCCGCGGCTTCCCTTCGCCAGTAAAATTTGTATTCAACATTCTTTCTTCAAACTTTGCATGTTATTTTTTTTATTGGATGGAAAAAATGAACTTTACTATGACTGATTCTTTCTGCCGTTGTTAGTGAATCTGTTCGCACCAACTGCTCAGATACTATAGCAAGATTACCTTCAATTCTTTTAAATATTGCACTGAACTCCAAGGGAATTTACTTCACCTAAATTTTACGCGTCTTCGGAAAATTCTATTACAATATGAATTTGAAGAAATTTGGCCCATGCAAGCCTTCTTTAATAGTCTATCGAGATTGTTTAGTAAACTTGATGTTAAAGAGTTTTACCAAAATCTGCAATTCCCACTCCGGGCACTTTAAATATACGACTCCAGATCCGACCTATTTGTAAATTATGAAGGCACAACTTCAATTTGAACTTTTGATGTTTGCTAAAGAATTCTACTGTTGTAACTTCGCATGAGCACGTGAGCTCAATCACGATGTGAAAACGAATTCAAGACTTTGTGCTGAGTGAAAGGTTAATTTGCAATAAATACACACTTTGTTGTGCTTGCTCACCGTCGACCACAAAAATTCTTCGTATCTCCTAATTAATAAGTAAATACGTCGGGAGTAGTTCCCTCAAATTTGAAGTGTGTATGAAAACACGGTCACTTTGTCAAAACAATGATTATTCTATCAGTATGGCAGCAAAAAAACGAGAATTTATCCTTTATAAATTCATACAACTAACAATAACAATAGTTAACATTACAAGAATTACAAGTAAAAAAGCAAACGCTTTTTAATTTATTGAAATCGAAGGTCCGATGCGCGTAAAAATACATATATTTTTAACAGTATTGTTTGTATTCGAGATTACACAAAGGCGTTTCGCTTTATTTGAAAATCTGCTAAAAGTAATTAGAATTATGAAGTACAGACTTAGTGCTTGCAGAGATATCGATATTTGGATTTAAATGAAATTGACTTGCTTTATTTTCAGACAAAACTGAGCAGAATATTTAAAATTGGAATTTATTTTGAAATCCCAGGGTGAAAAATATTTATTTTTGCGCAATGGCAGAAAAAAATTTTCTGATGTATCCGAATTCAAAAACATTAAAATGTAATAACGTTTATACGACAGAAGCTCCAAGCACCGTGTATTAAAAAGAAACATTCTAGTTATCGTTGAAAATTCAAAAATCGTCGTCTTAGTGACGACACAGCTACTACGACTTTTTTCAGAAATGTATCAAATACAAATTTGCTCATTTACAGAAGTGTTGATTGTTATTGCTTATTGAAACTCGAATTATATTTACAGTGCATCAAGCTGTTAAAATTCTGTAACGTAATATACAACCTTGAATCGATAGTCATAGGCATCATGTTTGCAGCAGATACACGACGTTTCCTGGAAGGTATTTATACATAAAATCATATACATGTAATATTGATGATAAAAATATATAAAACTTAGAATTAACGAAACATGGGGTAACTTTGAATATTCCGCTTCTTTGGTATCAATTGAAAATTTGGTACTTCCGCAGTGTGTGTACCAGGTTAGGTTTAGGCCATAATTTTATTCCAATTTCCTTATATTACGAGTTCGGGGACTGTATGTGTTAGCCAAGTGAATATACCCCATGCCCATAGGTTTCAGCCTCTTTACACAACTCGATGTCAATTAGGCGAACAAAATTAGTTAGCTCAATATAGGTACGCATACTTCTGGAGCGTCAGAAATTTCTACTTCATTTCCTGACTTGAATGTAAAACCACAATGTTATGAATTTATTCCAGACGACAAATTTTTGATCAAGTATCAGATCTTCATAAAGGGTGTGTGGGTGATAGTTATCTACTCGTTGGAAGACACCGCAGACTCTCGCCAACGAATCCTCGAAGATGGATACGAAATCGTCGAAATGGGTGACGTGCGGTTGCCCCGTCGGCCACGAATTCTTAGCTTAATTGTCTCTCTCGATGATGCTGCGGAGATCGCGCCAGAAAAAAAATTATTCTCGTATAATGACCTGGCTGGGCAGACGTCCATCAAACATAAAGCTAGATTGGTGTCGACCGAAGCAGGAAAGCACTTACTGCAACTTGTCATCGCATCCGGACATAATATTTGCCATGAAGCACCTTTCGATGCAGTCCTAACGATTGAGGATTTATATCACCGAAGTAAGTACAAAATTAGGCGATCATGTGGCGTCATAATACCAAACAAAAAATTATTATAGCGTCATAATGATATTTATGACTTCATTGTTGGAGAGGGGGCCTCACAAATCACATAGCATGGGCCTCTCATCGTCTAAGTCCGGTCCTGTCTGCTACCAAGTATGCACTGCTTTTACATATTCTCTAAATCAGCAAACGCGCGTGAAACACTATTTTTAAGATATGCAAGAAAATCAAATCAACGAGAATACCGGTTGGAAACCGAAGACTTATCGATCGATAGTTAGTTAGATAGTTAGGGGATCCCCCAAAACAGAAACTGCAGTTTCGATTCATCCGCTCTTGTAACTTGCGCACTGCGCATCGCACACACACACTCGGCGGGTTTCAAAATTCTCTCGCTTTACAAAAATCTAGATCACTATATCAATAATTGATTGATAACTCGCTAATTATACGACATAATTCGCCCAAAATCAATAGGCTTCTGGTCCGAGATAAGATGAATGCACATGCAAAATCTGGAGCAGATTCAATCTCGCTTTCGTGAGATATCGCGTGCATCTAACAGACACACAGACAGACATACATACAGACATACAGACAAATACCTATCAATATACTTACCGATCTTAAGATCGATAAGTAATGACGATGAAACGAGCAATGATGAACAATTACCTCCCTTACTTCCCTCCACCGGGCCAACAGATTCAATTTCCTCCAATGACGCTGATCAACTGAATCATACCGGTAAGTAAGGTTATGCAAAGGCCGGCAATCGTTGTGGTGCAATGAAGGCTTTATCAAAAAGGCAAAATTAAAAAGGCTGTTTGAAGAAAATGAAGAAAGCGTACCTATATTATTTATTTTGAATTTTTGTAAATTTATTAAAATACTATGCTGCATATTACTGAATATTACAAACTTACAAGCTGAATATTACCAGCGTGAAAAGCAAAATATTTTTTAGCTAGGTTTTCAAGTAATTTTTTTTACTTTTAGGATTTGCATTCTATTGATGATTTATAATGTACCTGTAAATCAGTGGCCGATTCTCCCTATGAAAGTATGTTTTATTCGAAAAATGCGTGGCTGAAACGAACGTGCAAGATCAAATCTAACAAATTTATTTGTTTTCAATTAGCTTCACGCACTCTCAAAAATTAACTACCCCAGTGTGGGGTAAGCTCAACCGCTTGAGAACCAGCATTACTGTAAATTATTTATTACTTGAGATTGCTATTGATTTACCAATTGACTCGGAACGTGTTTAATTTAATTAATCACATCCTAAGTAAACAAAAACGCGTGGCTGGCTTTCCAGGTCTCAAATTTGTTTACTAATGCTGAGTTAATATTTCTCTTTGAAACAAGCAAAAAAATCTTCGAAATCATCATGTGAGTAGAACTATTCAAGCGGGTTCTACTTAAAATTTAACAACAATTATCTTAAACAAAAACTAACGCGGGCTCATATCGTTCGCTCATTTCAGATTTCACTCACTTTCCTGTTCATTACAGAGTAATAAAATCAAACTCACATAACAAGCATGAAAATTTGTCTGATTGAAAATGTGCCCAGACTGAGCTGAAAAGGCTGATAAAATACCAGACAATTACAATTATACAAACAATAAATTTCCTAACATATTGAATAGCTTTAAATGCTTACTTCTTATTTATGTTAATCGTCAGAAACATTTCGTTATTTCAGAGGACGTTTCGGTTCATGAGCTTTTGCAAATACATGACGTGGGTCACTACTGGGCTTTGCTTCAAGGTGCTGGATTTACAACTGTGGAAATCTTTTCTGCGCTCGATAAAAGTGAATTGAAAGAAATCGGAGTGACAGCTGTTGGTGACAGAATCCGAATCATGCGTGCTGTGAAAAATTCGAGACCCGAGTTTGCGAATCTGATTTTTAAAACGAGTGAAGGTAAGGCGATCCGGAAAGTCTTTATATGTTAAATAAAAGTTTTCATGGATAAACCGAACAAAATCTCTGACATATGAGTTAGAATATCTTATCAAAGTCTATGTTAAAAGCAAGCGTCATGACTTTCGCAATTTCAGCGAAACGAAATATTGAAAGATTGTACAGAATGGCATATGACGAAGTTCCAGATCAAACAAAATGTTCCTTTACAAAAAAAAAATGTAGGACTCTTTAAAAGACTTCCATGACTGTAGCTTGTCAAGATTCCTTGATCAACTATTTTCAAATTTTGTTTTGAAGTCAGTCCTCAATATATCTTAACCAGGTTTGTTTTATTTTCATCAGTATTTTTACTTCATTTAATACACCTTGTCTCTACCTCCATATGATCGCCATTATTTGCACAAAGCACACCATAAGGTTGTTTTACCTAATATAATACAGAACTTTATCAAATGTCATTTACCCAACACTTTTGAGCAGAATTAAATTGGCTGAAAACTACATTCTTGAATTTAGTCTGACATTGATCTAAATTTGGCCCCCGTAAATGATTTGTTACGTATGGCAGACGACACCAATCGTGTGTGATTAACGCAAAAGACGCCGAACGATATGTTGCGGCATGTGTGAGGTGGTTGACCTAAGGTTTTAAACCGCAATATTTGAAATGAGATTCTCGTCATTTATGAACGACGAGTAATTCGCTGTCCGAACCGCTAACTTTGGAAGTACTCTTTTAACGGGTGGATAAGAACTGATGAATTTAAAGGTAGGCTAAAACATTTTTATTTGCAGGATTTAGCAGCATTCATGATTGTTTGCGAAACCTCGGCCTGGGCGCTTTGGCTCCTTTGTTTAAAAAAGAAGACATACTTTACGCCACTCTGATTGACATGGACGAAGAAGACTTGAAAGATATCGGAATTACAGAAGAAAAATATCGCAAAGCCATAATACAAGCGACTAAAGGAATTCCTGAGGAGGCTAATATGGATCAACATCGCTTTAACCCCATTTACGACACTTCTCGTAAGTAAGAAGTATTTTCTGTATAGGACTTGAGGCTATCCGAAATTTCGCTTTTAATATTATTTTGTCGTGAATCTGAAATGTCAGATTCATGTATAAATTTATGTCAAAAGTAGAGAAATAATTCTTAAAATAATGCCCTCATACATGAAATTTAACGTCAAATGATCAATCGTAGTAAGTCAGTAGACTATGCCAGCGATTTCCCCACTTTTTTTCCCGTGCGGCACCAAATTATCAGGAAAAAAATCACAGCGCAATTACGCGGACAAAATGCAGTTTTTAAATAAAACTAATGAAGGCAATGTCAACAAAACATTATAACGTCATAACATTCACACCTATTTATCAAATGAGAGGTGTCCAGCTGATGCTCCGAGTACATCCCTTCAAAGCGATGCTCGATATGTATATATGCATTTATTTCTCTCTTTATGTCCTGATCTGATGGAATCAGATCATTCAAATGTACAAATAACAGAGTTCTACCTCCGTACCAATTCGCACTCACTTCGTCAAAAAGATGGCGAATTAGCCTGACGAAATATAAATAGATCAATATACACAGAATTTGAGTTGGATTATTCCGACAGAACTCAGAGCTGATTTAACTGATATGAAACTGTTGTAAATTATCACTTTATTGGGAACGAATGAATGCAAGAAATGGCCATCTAAAATAATTTGGAATTGAACAAACATTAAATTTAATTATTAAAAATCATAATAGAGCAGATTTGAAAGCCTAAATTTATTATTTATAAATCACCTGAAAAGTTTTGATATTTGCTTCATTTCAGAGGACGTTTCAGTTGAGCAGCTTCTGCAAATGCATGACGTTGGTCACTACTGGACTTTGCTTCAAGGTGCTGGAGTTACAACTGTGGAAATCTTTTCTGCAATTGATAAAAGTGACTTGAAAGAAATCGGCGTGGCAGCTCTTGGCGACAGAATCCGAATCATGCGTGCTGTGCAGAATTCGAGAAGATGACAATGTATTTGGACACGAAATCCAATTTTCGCTTTCGCAATTTTAACAAAACCGCAGCCAAATATTAAAAGAATTATACAAAATTTCATGTGACGATGTGGTCCAGATCCGATACATATGAATATATTCACATTTGAATAACAATATTGTGACCAAATTTAAAAAAAAATCGAAGTAAGAACAAATTATGGACTTAACCATCGCCACGAACGAAAATGTGATATTGATTATAATAGTGCATAAATTGCGTGAAAAAGCGATATTCTCTAATCGACAACAAATTTTTTTTTGACCCGTAAATCCACTTTGTGTCCGTTATAAAAGGGTTATGGACTGCAACGTTGTTCACTTATTGGACGCATAGTGGACCTATGAATCGTTTTGGTATTAGGTAAATATATATATATACATATAGTCTGTCTTGGAAATTATGATTATGCAACTTTTTACATGTAGATATACATTTTTCATATACAGGTTTTTCAAAAAATTCCCCCGATTCTATAGTAATAACAAATAAAAATTTCCTTGTCTATGTTTATTGGTAGATATCATTGTTCTCATAATTCTTACGATAAAATTAGGTAAGGAATTTATGTTATCCGACATCCGAGGAAATGTAATTTGAATTTTTGGTTCAATATGTACAAGGGTAGGCCTACGTACAATCTTCATTTTCATGGAGGTAATTCAAAAATATTGTGGGTTTTATTTTTAGGCGATCATCTTGTATGACTCATTTATTTCTGTTTGAGATTTATATTTATGATTTTAAAAACATTCGGTGCCGTCAAATATGACGTATTATATTTATGTCAAACCTGGTTAACGAGAGGGTAACTGTATATATATACCAAGGGCGAGCAAGAATTTTGGACCAGGGCCAAAAACATTGTCCATCCAGACTGGCGGGCTATGTAAGTGTGAGTTATATTTTATGAACAATATTTACAGTGTTACAGAAGTGGAGAACCAAACTAAATTTACCAAAACTAGAATTAACTGCAATATCATCAAATTCCTTTAGGCATTTTTGAGATAAAATATCAAAATTTGATTTAGTTTTTGTATTAGTCTTATCGGCTTTTCTTCCTCTGGTATAAATAAGTAAAATTCTGTCCCTATTACACAGTGACAAATATAGAGTGGGAATAACATGTAATCGAACTTCGCAACTGTATGTGTGTATTTATTTTACATTTCACCTGATGTATATTGAGCCTGCCCTAGTTTATAGCCGACATCAAGAGCGTTTCCATTTTCATAAAGAAATCTATTAAATACATCTCTCTTGTGCCACGAAGTAAATCAATACAATTATAGAAACCCAGTCAGATTAAAATATACCCTATATTATTTAATCTATAACTTGTGACAGGTCAATCGTACAGTGGAAAATGCGGTTGAAAAAAATCTCTCTGTAATTGCGTGGCCACCAAAACCGGTTGTAGCAATGAGAATGTGATGTAAAATAAACATGCTTGAATGGTTTGCGCGTGAACTATCAAAATAAATCATGTAATAATACGCGCAGGGCGTTAAGCGCGCATGGAATAAATAACATGAAACAATAAAAAAATTCTTCGCAATGAAGACGTGCCAGAAAACACGCGAATCCGCTGAAACATACTACATACAGCAACAAATTGAATTCAAAACATGAATGGTTTCTTCGGGCGGAAGTTTGAGATTGCAGATTTAACATGATATTAAAAATAGAAAAGCGGCGTATAATGCCAGATTAATATCATAAGTGAAGTTTGCAAAAGCGATGTAGATTTCGAAAGTGAGATATTCCCCTCAAACTCGCGTTCTGTCGCTACGAATGGCGTTTCTGTTGGAATCAATATAGACTGACATTAGGTCTGAACGTGGTGCACTAGTTCCTTAAATCAGAGGTTTCATTTGTCCGTTATATCCATGTATACCAAGATTTCAACGCGACCAGGGGCGTTTGAGAGTGCATCGATTTCTATTGTTTATTTTACTATTTTGGCTTCGAATTAATTTAATAAGCTCGATTGTTTACAACATTATGTTTTTACTTTGGAGCTGCTCCTTTATGTATAGTTGAGTTAGTTTCCGACATATAACTATTGAATACCGCAATTCGCAACCGTATTTTTTATTTATTTTATATTTTACTTGATGTATATTGAGCCTGTTCCAGTTTAGGGTGTTTCATTTTCATAAAGAAATCTTTCATAAACTTCTCTTGTGTGTCACGAAGCAAATTAATTATAATAAATGTAAAAAAAAACCGATTAGATTAAAAAATATAATGTATATTTTTAATCTATAGTACTATGTGAGAGCTTAATCAAAGAGCGCACAAAGCGGTTTACAAAAAAATAAATTATCTCTCTGATTGCATGCCCATCAAAATCGGCGTTGAGCGTGTGGTTACTACAAATAGGTAATTTTAAGTAGGAATGTTTTTCAATACAAACTTATTCTAAAAAACATTTAAATAATTTAAGGCAGTGCTTTCTAGTCATAGCTTTACCAACGTATATAACACCAATGTCTTGTCCGCCAGGAATATTCGTATTCATTTTATGCGCTGATACATAAGTTCGTAAGGTTTCTCCAAATATAAAGCCGCAGACGGTTAAGCTTGCAGACAAAGAATAATCATCCAGGACTGGAAAGAATACCGGTAGAGTTACGTTGACACACACTGGTTTCCGGCCTGACTCGCTAAGCTAAACCTTAAAAAAATTATAACATCGGGCCCGTACTTAAATACATTCACCTATATTCTGAATTTGTGTTTTTATTAGTCTACCTGTTTCCACGCAAACAGCACTTGATATATTTTGACTATCAAACCGATACGAGTCCACTAGAGCGACAGGACATTTCGATTTTCTAATAGCGGTTCTTATGTCACAATGCGTTTTCGCTGCCACTTGCTGATTGAATGTTTTTTCAAACGTTTTTTCTGTACTGTAGCGGCTGTAGCGAAATTATTCATGTCTATTTTACGATTTGGCGCTCAGATATTAAAAATATTCATTTATATTTTTAATATATTCAATCATTTATCATTAAAACTACGAAAGATAACTTTAGTTCGGTCTACCCCAAGTTTCTCACGTTGTGTCCTGAATCAAATAATACTCGCTCAAGAGACAAATCGAATGTTGGTTAATGATATTAATCTGATCTACACCTACATTTTCACACACAACTGAAAACTGTCAAAAACGAAACGTCAGCCTACGACGTGTACACGCCGAGCAAGAAGCGCCTGGGGGACTACCGCGTTTCCCCGAAAATAGGACAATGTCCCAGTCTTTAACTGGTTTTAAAATTTTACAAACATAAATTTGTTATATAATTATTATGTCAATTCTAATATTTTATCGCTCCGTTTAATAAAGGTACGATTATAATCAAATCTAAATTCCCCTTTTATTCACTCATGTTTTTTTTTCATTTCCTTACTCTTTTCTATTATATTTTGGCTTGGGTCATTCTATTTGAAGGTAAATGGGATTTCTTCGTCACACAGAAAATTTTTGTCTCTTAATTTCCTACACTTTTGGAAAAAAGGTCCTTTTCTGTCCAATCAGGGACTCCTTTATTTTTTATTCGAAAGAGGTAATTTTAGGATGAGCAAGAATATTGTTTTTCCGAGATTACACAAAAGCATCGTAAATAGGTTCATATATCTCATCTCATCACATATGCATCTACAAGAAGAGAGATGAGATGAGAATATTACGGTGGTTCAATAGTAAAACAATCGAGCAAAGAGATCTTAAATATGGACACGAAAACCAAAGTAGAGTTGTACATATTTGATATTTTACAGTAATATTTTACATATTTTTACCTACCGGTACCACAGTCTTCACGACTCCATCGGAGCACCAGATTGCAAACACAGAACCGCCACAAGGTGCTCAAGTTTTTATATGATGACGCCATCACATACACAAAAAAAAATCCATCGAGGCCACAGAAATTTATGAATGGGAGATAAATTATCTCATCAGGCTATGTCAACATCATTTGCAAGAGGATTTCTAAACATTCCGTTCATCTCCGAAGAAAAAGACAGCAAGTTTTTTGCTATGTATCTGCCACCCCTTCCAACAACAAATTCAGAAGTCGATAAAATAGTTGGCCCAAGTGATGAAGTAGTAAAAGCGGGAGCCATTACAATTTAAATTGATCCTCTAGATGCGACAATGGAGTACACTGAAGATTTGCTTCAGTATGTAACAAAAATGGTTTGCATTGCTGTAATTGCCGTTTCTTGGTCACATGCAGGAAAAGTAAAAGGAACTGCGCAAAAGGCATTTGGATAGGATGTGGTCGTTGTGCCAGCAGGCGGCGCTAGATACAAGAGTTTAGCGTTATTTGAAGGCAATGAATGCATCGGTGTATCTTCATACCACTTTAATAAAGAAGTGGGACATTTGTGCTGGCAACGCTATTCTAAATACATCTGATGCTAAAATGACAACTTTATTAGGGTCTCCGTCTCTCCGATAGACTATTCTTGATCTGACGACACTAAAAAGAATGGCGGTCTTGTCGCCGCTTTTTATAATCCTGAATAATATTTTCAAAAATTAGGTTATGCATGAATAATTTTTTTTTTATACTTTACATTGAATTCAAGCTTACAATAATACAAAATCTATCAGATTCCAGTTTGAACAAACTTCTTGAAAATCCGAAATTACGTTTGATATATAAAATTTCCCCCATTGTTCTCGAGAAACTTAAATTATTTTGCGATAAAACTGTTTTGCTAAATTTTCTTCATCTCAATAAAAACTCAGAAATGATTTTCTTATATGAAACGTTGCAAGAATTTGATTCTGATTTTTGGATTTCTATTTCAAGCCCTAGTGTTTTATCTATTGTTTGACTTATTCTCTCTGACTACTATGTCTGACAGGTAAATTGTTTGTTTTTAGGGTGTGTACAAATAAAGCAATATTATAAAATGCCAAATAGTATACTGTATGTGATAAATTTCAATCGACTTTTCTCTTTATCAGCAATAGCTGATCAATATTATTCAAAATTACTGATTTCCTCAATATTCTGTAGGGTGACCATGACTTGGGTGAAAGAATTTTGCTGTCAGTTATTTTGTTCGTCAAATTACAAGTTTACTCATGTCTGATGCTTAGTTTCCAACAACAATTAATGCTTTTGTCTTTCTGGTAGTCAACCATATTTCTGTATATATGTTTGCGACAAAGCAACCTTGATTGTAGTATTCTTTGTCATTTAACTGGCTAACTAATCGCATACCCGACATGAACTGGTAACTGGACGAGAGCCCGTGGTTCGCCATGCGCTTATACCGTCTTATCGGCTTTCCTCTCCCCCGGGATAAATATGTAAATCCTATCCTAAATATAAGTTTCTAGCAACAAAATCAATCCCTAACCAACGAAAATTTGAAATAGAAAAAGTATTCTTACAACAAGAATAACAAATGCACCAAAGCAAAGCAATACTCACTCAAGGGTTGGGAAATTCACCCCTTTAGCAAAGCCATGAGGAACCTCTAGTGTGACAGAGAGCGATAAAAAAATCTTTTTTCTGACTAATTTGGGTGGAAACGATATTTATAAAAAAGAAATACCTATGTGAATTAGCAACGTGCAGATATGCAGCGACGAGTGTCGACATGAGTGCCAGTTACAATAACGCCATGCGTAATCTTACTAATTTAGGTGCTAATGTCATTAAATGAACCCTTTGACATGAATGTGTGATGAATACGTCTATACCTTGGTAACAGACAAACTTACGCCAAAAGTATGTTTGTATCTGCAGTCCGTAACAACAACCCATAAAATGAGGGAAACTTTTCGTCTTTCACAATGCAATGTTCGCGAGTCAATATGTTTGTTCCTTGACCCCGTTCGAATCTTGTGAAAAAAAAAATATATATATTTTATATATCACAGAATATCTAAGCTCCTCGCCGTTGCCGATAATCGGATGATGATTATAAAATTGATTTGGTCCCTGGTCACATTTTCGCGTTTTGGGCTTGCAATGAATGACAGGCAGCTGTGAGGTCATGTGATTAGGTCGCCTTATCATCTTCAAGCACATTTGTTTGCTTTACAAGCACTTGAAGTTATGTTATTTGTCAATGATTTATGTGAAATTTCTCTTACGTCAAATATGAACAAAAGCGGTGAGCATTGTTGACTTTTGTTTCATTAACATCTCAAAGCTACATGCTAGTAGTCAAAACGCCGTTGAAAAAAATAGAGTAGGGTAGCTAAAATGGCTTTTTGGTACTTGGTACATTCAGAGGTGTATTTTCGAATAGTCTTGAAGCGACTCGTTAACTAGAACAATAACTAAAGGTGTAATGGCTGGGGTTACTTCAGAAATGCTGTTATGTGAAAACGGATTTATACGGGAATCTATTGTTGCTGTTCAAATGTAGTGTTTGGGAAAGGGCATTCTCGCAAAGCTACATTTTTGTATGTGCACGTTTTCGTAAAATATTTCCTCTCCCGATAGTTTATTTTTGCAAAATTCATTCTTGTCAAAATACACCATCACTTACGCTAGAAATATCGGGGGTGAAGCAATCTCAGAGATCCCGAGAAATAAGGAATAAAACTTGTTCTACTTTTCTCAAAAAAATACAGTAAGTGTCTGAGTGAATTATTGTGCTTGCTTTTTATCGTTTACTTTCACTTCGAAGTACAGAAAACTTGAAATCGATTAGTCCATTAGTTGCAGCCCTCTTCAAATACGATGCTTAATATGAATCATATTATGTTGAAGATTTAGCCAGTACAATAAAGAAATAGCTTTTTTGTGAACATAGCTTTGCTTTTTTGACAAAATTACCATTTGAATTCGAAAGTCAATACTTCCACCACCGCCGAATAAAGATGCAAATTTATTTACAGTATTAACTGCATAAATAATATTTAAAATAATAAAACGCCATGTTCTCAAAATTTGCACTGTGGCGAAGAGAAGGTAAGATTTAAATTTAATTTGTAAGTTTTAATGATATTTTCACACTGTTTGGTTATTAGTCAGATATGCGTCATACATTTGTTGCAAAGCATTAAAATAGGACTGTGACCATTATGTCCCCTATTTACAATAGTGCCGTAACAAATATATTTGGGTATACTGTCTTTTGTAACCAAATTTTTGAAAATGAAGTGAAAAGTTTATTAGGTGTTGAACAACACATTTTTTTTCTAAAGCATATTTAGGAATTTCATACACACTAATGGCATCATTCTCATACTTTCGTAATATTTTTTAGAGAGTAAATTTCTGGCCAATTACCAGATTCTCGCACAGCCTCCAAATGTGATGATAATCTTCTCGTTGGGGAAAACAGCTGATAAATGCCAGCAGTTAATCAATGATGGATATAAACACATCGACCATGGTCTTCCAAATAATATTTCGCTGCCACAAAAGTCATGCGCCGTCACCATTGAGTCGATGGACGGGTCGGTAGAAGTCAAACCGTCCAGTTTTTTGCCTATTTTGTACAACGATCTCAAAAGACAGAAAACCATCCAATATAAAGTCATTCTAATTGCTGGACGTGGTGGCGACCACTTATTACAACTTTGCTTTCGAAGCGGATCCAACAATTTTCATAAACATCCTTTTCAAGTGACACTTGAAGGTAAGTTTCCTTTTGCAGTTTATAACCAGTAGGCACTGCCAATATGTTCCCCAGTTTTATTTTTATTTTAGGGGGGTGGTAGATATTATGTTATTAGTGATGAAACTATTTGTGACTTATAAAAATGTGTTATGTATTGACTGATCATGTTCACCGGCGTATACTAAGCCACTTTCAAATATTCAAATACATTTTTATTTACACTTTTATAGTAGGGGAGCGGGGGCTTGTTTACTTCATATAGTGGGATGTAGGGAAATCACTCCAAGCTAAATATCAGGCCCCACTTTTCCAAATGAAGCTTGCTTTTTTTGAAGCCTCATAAAACCTTAGGTGATGAACCATTATCTTCATTTAATGCTGTATTCACTGTGCACAGTTCCCAGAGGAGAAGAGTCAGCGTCACCCGACGGTATCCAAGGACCTACAACGCTCGGACAACAACAGGGTACGCATTTTATTCTGATGTTTTGGTTTCGACCCTTAAAATTTATCTCAGCGTTCAAATTTTTATTGACGCTTTTTGGACACGATAGGGGACATAAGGATCGTTTCAATATTATGTTGTTGTTGTTCTTTGACACTTTTTGGACACCTAGTGGAAAATCTAAAAAGTCGCTTTTTTCTTTGATTACTGGATCAATTGCTTTGACATTTTTAGTGGTTAAAAATGAAATTTTTCTCCAGAAGGCTATTACTTCTATTTATTTCAAATATTTCTGTTAGCTCTGTAAGATTTGTTTTTGTTTGCTATGACGTCACCGAACGTTCTGCGGACGCTTTTGTTCTTCTGATCACGTGCCATCGAACGTCGGTGGTTCGTAATGGAATCCTTGCTTTACTAAGATTTGAGGAATGGTGAATGGCGAATAGTGCCGTGATTCAGATTGTTGGTGTTACTACAGTTGTGAGTCGGACCATCTTGTAATTTCAATTCACGCTGTCACAAGCTAGGAACTTTTAAAGATAGGGCAGTTCCGGTACCGTAACACAGTGTGGTGAACTAACTCGTAGCTATCTGGTAAAAGCGGGACTTTTTTTAATTTTGAGAAGGGAATGAAACAGAATACTCGGTATTTCAATTCATTTTGCAATTGAATGGAGAAGTGTAGATCATTGTCACGGGACAGTGTGAAATGGGAGGCAGACAACTCGACTACACACGGACAACTCACCAGAGACAACTCGACCACAGATAGACCTGGTGAGTTGTCCGTGAAGTCGAATTGTCCATAAGCTCTAAACGGCTATGACAGTAACTGTACCAAAATTTGTAACCCGATTCAGATGGTGTTGAGTTGACGCACATTATTTAGTAACGTTTTTATGTGAAATGTTTGACTGTGGTTTGGTACCTGATGCGGTAATACGGCACATAGTTACTCATATCACAAGATATTTCAATTGATGTTTCAATATAATCAAGAAACATGGATCATTGTCACATGACCTAAAATATCTATGACAGTTCCTAAACCGTCACGGTCTCCCGGTCCCCGATACAGGTACTGGTAAGTCACCGCATATGATTTTTGGGGAATTGTTCTGCGTGTCCATATATTTGAGCATTGCTCTCTTGTACTAATAACAATCCCGAAACGTCCAGTGAATGTTGTCGATGCCTACGACGCATCACATATTTTTTTGTTTCAATAATTTAGCACCATCACAAGAGTATTTGTCATGTGAACAAGGAAATACCTGGGGATAAATGACAAGCATTTGCTGCTCATAAATCTCGTTGTTAGACACGGATTTTTATTCTTGTTGTTGTGAAAAAATCGAATTCCTCATTACCTAGTGCAGGGCAACTCAACTATTTTCACCAAAGGTCCGTTTACAAAACTTCAAAATTACTGTGGTCCCGACATTACAGAAAATTTATTTCATCAAATAAACGAAACTTCAAATGCAATATTGTATGTATGTTCATTTGTCTCAAAAATGTAACAGTATCTGCATAGCAATTAAACAGTAAAACAGAGACGGGATACATGTTCAAGACCGTACTGGCCTAAGACACAGATGTGCGACATGTACCCCTAACAATGATAACAGCAGTTTAGGACTGCTCCGTTATACTAGGACAACAGACATGAAATTGACTATACAAATAAAACTCTAGTATAGTACACAAGACTAAGAGGTACGTCACAACGGCGATATGTACAATAGTCAGTTTATGGCACGTCCATATCCCAGGTTCCGGTGTGAAAAGATGTAGATAGGGTATGGGTCGCTGAATTGATATGTTTTTACACTAAGTCTCACGAAACACGTAAAGACTTGTTCGGGATATAAGCTTGCCAGAAACCAACGTTGAATGGGGCCACGACACGAGAAAAAATTTGTAAAAGATAAATGTGGAAAACTTTTGTTCAAACTTGAGTTGTTAATCATAGTTTGCACTGGACCAAAGATATGGGAACAATAGAGAGTCTGGCACAAAATGCGGCCACTTTCATAAGCGCTATTGTGTGAAATTTATTGTTGCCATGTCTCAATACAAGATTGAAATTGAATACAAGAGCAATGAATGGCTCGCAAATATGGACACAAATATCGCACATCGGTATCAGTACGACAAACTGTGTAGCTGTGTATTTAAATTGTATCGAAATCATTTAAAACTATAAAACGATGCTTATGCTGCCAAAATAAACAAGCAGACGCGGTCCAAATCTTATGGTCAAAAGGTCTGAATTCGGACCGCGATCCGCCAGTTGAGTAGCCCTGACCTAGTGTACCAATATGTAATTTAGATTATATTCAATTCAAAATTTACTGTTGGCTTTATGAGATTTGTTTTTGTGTGCGATGACGTCATCAATATTAAAAATTGCTGCTCTGCGTTCGCGTCATAAAAGTGTGGTACCGGTAGTCTACTGTGTTGCTACCCGTACTACCTCCTTTTGGGTTTTGATGTCCATATATTGCTCTCTCGCTCTTCAACATATTTATCAAATCCATCGGCAATTTAAATGTAGCAGTCAGAGCTCGAGTTTGCACTTGTTGGCTAAAATAGGAAATTTCCGCATACATTAGGGATCGCGTTTATGAAAACACACAACGATGTGGATGTTTCGTACCCACCTGGTAATCTAAGCTCCATATTTGCATTTATTGTAAACGTACATTTGACCCTATTTCATCGCGATCAGGAATAGATTCGTGTGTTTCACGTAACCGATTGTGTCCCTTCGCCATATTATTAGACCGTCTCATCGGCGTTCCTATCCCCCAGGATAAATATGTAAATCCGACCCCGTAACTTTTATCGTCGTAAACAAACAGTGGATAACGGGGCTCATTGTCCATGAAATTGTGTGTTTCATGTTCAGGACGCGCGGTATTGTTGCCGTTGTAAGCATCAAACCAGTTCAGGTTCGCGACGGCAAGCGTGTTTACCTGACGGTAAGCACGATGCGCCATATACCGTCGGGTCCTATTTGAGACACAATACAAAAATTTGCAATTGGCAGTCATACACAAATATGTCAATATTAACAACTATGTTTAAAAATTGGTCGAGTGGGAAAAAATGATGGGCGAATGCAAGAATCCAATTTCCCCATCACCGTTATGTTATTCATGCCAATTAATTGTTACATGAGATAAACAAGGAAGTCGATGCACGGGGAAACACACATTTAGGCCACAGAAGGATATATATACTGAAAACATATAAAAATAAGTTCGTTATCGCACATGTGGTAGAATTCTTTGGTTTTGTGTGAAAATGATCATACTGAATATATTCTGACTAGTCCACACGAACGAAAATTGATATATTATAAATAAGTTACTGAAAATCTTGAGACGCAAAATCTTATTACGTCACACAGTAGTCCGCATTGAGTGGCCATAGTCGCCGAGAGGAAAAAATGTAGGGCGATGGGAACACATTTTTTTTTTATAGTAAAAGCATTTTATTCGGAAACGTGCAACTTTTGCAACAGGGGAACAAAGTGCTTGATTATAAGGAGCGTTTCCGAATTATTTTCAGGTAGCTACCTCGTGTGCGCTACGAAACTGAAATAATAGTGGAGATAATTTCACTCGTGAATTACGCCATCGCGATCCTGTGAATTTTATACCCACAAATCAAAGCAGTGTTCACATAGAAAATAATAAAATATTAAAGTGCATTACAGCAAAAATTGCTAGAGTTCCACGGGGCGAAAAAACGAAAATTATTGAAGTGTCAAAGAAAATTCGCAGTCTAGTCGCGATATTTAACAAAAAATCGGAAAAAGAATCTATAAAATCCAAATGCAGTTTTCCAAAATAAGAGTCATTGCTAAAAATTTGGAGTTATGTTGGCTCAAATAGGTAGCACGACAGTTACATTCTGAGCAATTCAGTTGCGATTATCCAAAATATCCCACATTAGGAGTAGAATTATTTATGTTGTTTATTATGATACATTGAATTTACTTATTTTTCGAATGTAAGAACTAACGCGCATCAATATTAGTTTAAAAAAAAAGGCAAACAATGTCGATAAATAATGGGAAACGCGAAACGAGGCGTTTCTACGCAAATATTTCTTTTTAAATATACTACATCAAGAGTAAAAATATTTTTATTGTACGTCAAATTTACTGCACTTACTTTTAAAATGTAAAAAACAATGCGCATGCTGAGATATAAAAGACAATGTCTATATCTTAAAACCTAAGAAAGGGCGTTTCTAAGTCAATCGATTTCAATTTTTAGGAGTAGAAATATTTCCATTGTACATTAAATTTTCTTTTTTTAGGATGTAAAAAATAGTGTGCATCTACATTATTTGAAAAAAATATAAAGCAAAAATGTCGATACTTGGTGAAAAGCCAATCGATTCCGATTTTTCCAAATATCCCACCATTAAAAGTAGAAATATTTCCATGGTACATTGAAATTTACTATTTTTTATGGTTTAATAAAATAACGTGCATCCATATTATTTTAAAAGATATAAACCAAAAATGTCGATACTTGATGAAAAAGAGCGTTTCTAAGCACTTCAATTGCAATTTTCCAGAATATCCAACATTACGAGTAGGAATATTTTTATTGTACATTGAATTAACCTATTTTTAGTATTTAAATTGTATGGTTTGGAGCCCCCGCTCAAAAGGGACGTGATGTGAAATTCAAAAAAAGCACTCCCTCCACGTTTCAATACCTGTTGTGGTTCAGTTGGGGTTTGGAATGATTTGGATTTACGGCGCAACCTGCATTCCAAACCGTTACTGGATAATTACTAATTTGTTGTCTTGAAGCATTACGGAAGTGCTTTTCCCAAATTTTACATTTTTGCATTGCTGGCCATTTTTGCATGTTCATCCTAAACATTTCCCTCTTCTTAATCTTCTTTAAAATTTATTTATTCTAATGTATAACATCATCACACTCATGTTTTTAATCAATAATAGCCCAAGCTGACTAGAGGTTCGTGGAAAGTTTGAGCAATTTTCATTTTGCAAATCATTTTTCAGAGGAAAAATTTTTGGTGAAATATCAGATTCTGACCAAAGGTTCAATCGTGGTAGCGATTTATTCATTACAAGACACCGCACATGCATGTCAGAAGTTCACTGCTAGTGGATATAAGAGCATTGAGAGTGGTGCAACTTCCGGTACGGATGTTCAGTTGCCTCGGTTTCTCGAATGTACCAGCAGTATCGAGTCTTCTGATCCATCTGTAGAAATCAGTCCACGATTTAAAATGCCCTTATCATACACCGACCTGAAAAACCAAACAAGCATCCAGCATAAAGTCACACTACTGACATCTTCTGGTGGTCGTCACCTGCTTAATCTCTGTCTCAAACGAGAAAACTACCCTCTTCGCTCAGAACCATTTCATGTGACATTAGGAGCTGATGATTTGCATGAAGGTAAGTCAAATGGTTAGTGTTCTGGTGTTTGCAGCTTCTTTTTCTTCCGGAATGATGCGTTTAGTTTCTTAGTATACTGATGGTTAGGTGGCATGACTGTTTAGTTATGACGATGCAAGTTCACTAAACGATGTTCCATTTCCCTTTTAAAATAATATGAACAGTATCAGGTAATCCAAACGGAACGTGCGATTATGCAAAATACCAGTGAGAGGGAGCTGATTAGAATCGGGGAACACTGAAAACACTTACCACACCTCGACTCACCCGTTGATACTTGATGAGCAAACGATGATTGCACGCACTGCAAATGCAGCGGCGGGTTGTGAACATGATCCGCCACCGGTATGGCTTGGCCTTTCCTAAAAAATAATACGGTACCGGTAATATATAAACCACCAATATTTCCTATGCTTATAAATTTATGGGAGCCACACATATTTCTAGAAAGTTGAACCAAACGGATGATACTTCTATAATAAAAATCAAGCAGTGATACATCTCTCGAATAGGATATAGATTTATTTCCTCATTGCATCTCAAAAAATTCCATTTGAATATTTTCAGCGCCATTGAACCCTTTGCACTTAGCTTCAACTTTTCTGCGTTTTGTTGCCATTTGTCTAATTATAATTAAATTATGGGCTCATTAAACGAGTAATTGTGAAATATATACTTCTTAGGGTATAATAAAATTTAGTTTAAAAAATATAATCATCAAAACGGCTGTTTTGTTACTATAATTCAGTGGAGCGTCACGGGCCGGATTGTAATACTCTGCGGGCCGGATCCGGCACGGGGGCCGTCGATTGCCGACCCCTGTCGTAAACACTTTACGCAAGGTCAAGCGCGTTCTCTCGAAATCTTACGCACGGTCGTCGTTGAAAAAAACCACGGTATGATCAATCAACCGTAATCTTCACCGCCGCTATCCGCCCAGAGCGGACAAGCCTATTTTGCGACGATTTGGGTTTCCCCTGTTTGAAGCCTGTGTTTTAAAATTTGGGTCATATATCAGTAATCTATGGATATATGAAATAAATGCTGGAGTACATACTTCCTTAACAGACAATAAAATAGATGAATCTGTAATCTCATATTTGATGTTAGTACCGCAATCGGATTAGTCTGTGTATGTGCCTATACCGGTACCTGTAGCTGTACTCCAGTGAATAGAATTGGCTACTCTACAGGTACTAGACTACAGTTACTCGTACCCAAGGGCATTTAGGGATTTTTAATACCTGGCCGATTTTTCGTAAAGTATGCGAACACCACAGCATGACTATTTTAACTTGAATCCATGCTAAGAACAGGTCGAATTACTGTTAACGAGGATAATTAAGCCTCGTTAGTTTGCGAGTACTCCAGTGTGTCAACGAACTTGGGTGAATACCGATTCTTGGTAAAATGAGAGAAGAAGGCAATTTACAAGACGTCTGTTTTGGCGCGCAAAAAATTCTTTCGAATATTTTCTCTCGAATGTTTACGATGCTTCGAGAATACCATTTTTGCCTTTTACGAGAAAGTAGGTGCTTTACTAACACGTTAAATGATAAAGAAGTTTGGCGAATGGGGCCCCTAAAATGGTGACCGCGTTCGTTAAATATGCCGGCTTATTCAAGGTATAATAAATTTTTCTGTCTCGAAATATTCAATCTGTGACAACTACAAAAATTCAAAATATCTCTCTATTTTAATTCATTTGTGTCCAAGGTAACTCGCGGTTGCGCGTCTCACGACAAAATACAGATCTAAAATACCACGCCAATCCACGGTCATAATAATTTGATAGTAATAATAGTCAATCAATCAGTAATAATCAACTGCCCGATTATATTTAGTATTGATATATATTGCGCTCATGCGAATTCGTTATCGTTGTCAGAAAGATCTGGTATAAAATCCCAGAAAATATATTTAATTTAGTACAATGAAAATACATGTAAAGTTTATTAGTAAATCAAAAATACATATTTATCTCCACGGAATCTCCGCGGTACTCTAAAATACCATGGCATTCCGCGGACTTAAAAATGTGTTGTGAACTGCTCGATTACATTTTGTTTTGATTCATATTCTTGCAAATTAGACCAATATGAGTTGTCACTGCAACTCTTACTCCGCGCCATCGCAATGCTGCCACCTATTCATTTTAAATCATTGTTAGAGTAACTTCTAAGTTTGCGATAAAATCCCACGGATTAAAATTTATTTCTTTATTTCAAGTCGGTAGTTTTAGATCAATACAGGTGTGCCACAGGCACAATGAATTTATGAGGTTTGCAATGTATAAGAAAGTGTTTTTTTCTGTCGCGGTCCATCGCAAAACAAACCTCATGACTTTTTATTTTTAGTATTCAATAATACCGCTTTTTAATCAAGAATTTTTTGGTTGCGGATTCACTTTTTTATTCTATCTTCAGCATCTCGTCGCTTATGATTACTATATAATAAAAACTAACTCATTTTCTTCACATGTTTCATGGGACACAAAACATGAGTCGAGGAAAATTCCTGATTTAGGGAGAATAAACACCGAAATAAAGATTTTTACGGCTTATATAACACGTCACGCCGACAAAAACAATCGGGAGATTAAAACACAATGCAATCGCAAACATCATTAGCTACTTTATTTTTCATCGGTCAAGATTGGGGGAATTGTCCACATGCATAATAACTTTTAAAAAAATGAACTGGTTTCCTTTATGATAAAAATATACATAAATTCATTTACACTTTGTCATTTTGTAAACTGTATTTTTGAACCTGGTGGTTGTCCAAATGTATTGGTAGTTAATTTTTGAGACGTTAGGCAAACCAAGAAGTCTGTTATTGTTGTGTGTTTTTAACACACAGTAAATAATTTTTGCATTGCCCAATGTGATGAAGTAAACATTTGATTAAAATTTCACGTGTCTTATGTAAACGTTCAAGCTGAAAATACATTAATTGAAGCGCAAAAAGCATACGTTTGTTGCGTTCTAAGTTTCACTGAAAACTTAGTTTGACTTTACTAGGTATTGCAAACTGAGCGCAAAACGGAGAATGTATCACTATTTGATCAGGGCTTTATGCATACCACAGTGAATGGCGAAGTTGTAATCCGATGCGTTTCATGCCTAAACAATCTGAGCAATGACGCTATTAGACCAACACTCTTACAGCGCCATATTAGTATGAAGCGACCGGCCCATCACAAAAGCAGTTTTTCAAACAAAAAACGGGGGCGCAAAGTTTGTAAAATTTTCAAAGTGGGGCGCGGCTCAAAAAGTTTAAGAATCACGAACTAGACGCTATCTTATCATAACTTAGAATCGACAATTTCACCGAATAGAGCGTCTGTTACATCCTTTTGTCATTACTTAAATAATGGGGGAAAATAGCGAAAACATGGAAAAGTAGATCAAAATTTACCTTAAAATACGATAAATAATTTGACATACTTCTATAATACGCGAAGAGCGATTATTAACGATATTGTTTTGACAGCGTCTGTGCGCGCCCCATTGTATACAGCCCCCGGATAAATATTGTTTAGCGTGCATGTGACCGCCGATCCTATTATTGAATCGACTGATTTGAATGCCGGTCGTGCATAAATTAATCTAAAATACCGATGTGGCAGCCTTCATTTGAATTTCTCCCGATAAATTAATTGAAAGGAACTCACTTGAAACAATGAACGTTTTTTGTGAATTGCCACCTCTAACATTCGATGCCCTGAATTTAAGATCCACAGAAAACTATTTATGTGTAAATTTAACCGATTTCGATGCAATCAAAGAGTCAACAATCATCAATGTCTGGGCGACTTTAATTCAACGCGTATTCTCGATTTATTTGAACTTTTCTCGAAGCTGCGGCGACATCTTGCGATCAGTCATTTACATTGATACAAAGTGTCACTTTTTCGCTAAAACGTGATTTTTTAGTCAAGAAAGAGAAGACATAGCGATCAAATACCATAACATTTTCAGAGATATAAGAGCTTACTACAGAAACCAAAAGCACAATACAACGCAATTTAGTCAAGCTATGAACTGTTGAAAATTTTATTCGAAGGTGCAAGGCATCCGAAATTACCCTGTTTACGGTATTCTGGTTTCTGACATAAAATGATCGATTAATATTCAAAATAACAATATAGGATGCATAACTAAAATACCGCGGATATTTAAACGATTTTTAACATTTCTCCTCGGTTGAGATAGGGTCACTAAAATCTCGGACCTTGATCGAGAAAAACGTTACATAGGGTTCCCTTCACTTAAACTACAGACCACAATCCAAATGACGCATAAATCCACAAGTGTTCTTACCTTATAGTACTATATGACGATAAAGCAAAGTAATAATTCAAACTGTCTTGCGGTCGTAAAATGCTGTGGGGATGGGACGAAGACTCAACTGTACGACGAAGGGTCATAAATCACTTCGTTTTGGGGTACCTATATTCGCCATGAATAGGTAGTGCTTCATCGCACGGACTTTGTACGAACAAAATTTATTAAACTTCAGATTGGAAATGTTTCTGACTAAAACGATGATTATGTGTTTAACAGAGATTATATGTTTAACAGAGATTCCAATCGTACAGCAAGACGATCCCTACGACAGAACAAGCGGAACAGGACCATTTAATAGAACAATATCAAAACGAAGTAAGCATTTATTGAGAATTTGGAGTGAGTTCTACTCGCAGACGGGGTGGGAAAGCACTGTACTTGATTGGCAATAGACATCTTGTGTAGAAATAAAACCCACTGTATTTACTTATATACGGCAGTATGGAGGCCCTAATGGAATGACCAGGTAACGACATTTTGGTAATTTCATCAGGTTGCCTACAATTTTGCATTGGCAATTATTAAAGATTTCTGCTCGTTGATTTTGTTGAAGTTGTGAATTTCTCACCGTTGCACTAAGGTAAACGAGCGTCTTTGTTTATTAATATTGATAGGTTGGATTTTCCGATTAACCAAAGAATTTCTTTAACATTTTTCAGGGCAGAAATTTCTGGTTAACTATAAGATTCTGACAAAAGGTTCATGGGTAGTTGTAATGTTTTCACTGAAAGACACCACCGATGAATGTGACCAATTCTCTTCTGATGGATATCAGCAATGCATCGTCCATGGTATTTCAAACCAAGAGGTTCGGCTTCCGCGGTGGTCACCATGTATCAGCAGAGTCGAGTCAATTGATGGATCTGTAAGAGTCACGCCTGAAGAGGGAAAAGAGCTTTCATACGATGACCTGAAACATCAAAAGTGTATCCATCAATATGTGGCATTGCTAGCGCAGTTTGGTGGTCCTCACCTAATGCAACTCATTATCAGGAATGGCGATGAAAAGCTCCACACAACACCTTTCCAGGTGAAATTGGAGGTTGAAGATGTGCACGACAGTGAGTCTATTCTTTCTACACGTCATACAAGATACAATCATGGAAGAGTATGAGGAATATTTTTAATGATTCCGCTGAATTGTACAGACCCAAAATTAAACTGTTACATATATCAAGGAATATAATGGCAAAACAAAGTCGTTTTTATCTTCCCCATACCGCTGCCTCAATTCATAGTGAATTGGCTCTGCTTTTCACAGAGATTTTTTTCATGCGCAATATTTTAAAAGATTATGGCCATTGCAGAATCGTCAATGAAAGTGAGAAAAGCACATGGCAACGCCAAATTTTTGCCTTATTCTCAGATAACATTCAATTCGCAATATCTTACTGAAATTTGTAACCTGAATATTTTATCGGTCAAATAGGACTGTATGTATAGCTACTTAATAACGGGATATATTATCTTTCTATTATTTTTTCCACAATGATATAAAACAACATTCTGTAATTTTCAGATGGTGACGAAGAATGGGAAACTTCTGATGTCGATGATTCATGTGAAGTCCCTTTTCCCGGTAAAAGTGATTATTTATTTATATTCCTACCGCCTCCTCTATAGATTGGTAAATAAAAAGCAACTAGACAAAATTATCCATTGTCTGTATAGTCAACCAAATTTTATGTACTGAGAAAACATTTTTGGCATAGGCGAAAATGAATCATCAGAGTCAGTTTGCTTCCCTGATTAGTTCTAAAGTGTTTTTGAATTTTGTTTATGAACTTGCACCTTTGATACTGCACATGGTAATTGGTTTGTCACACTTTTGTTCTTAAGCCCGTTCCGATTTGTATCCCCATATAGGTGAAAGTAGACATTGACTCATGTCCAAACTAAATAAAAAAAAAACACACATAAAATATTGAAACAAAATATCCTCGTTTTATTTCATAACTCACAGGAGAAGTTACTGTCCGAAGACTCCTGAAAAAGCATAACGTTGACAACTATTGGCTTTTGTTGGAAAGATCTGGTGTTAGAAGCGTTCCAGATCTTTCTCGGCTAAATAAAAAGAAACTTAAAGAGTTCGGCGTTGAAACAGTAGGTGACAGGATCAGAATTATGAATGCTGTTGCGAATTCCGACTCCCCTTTCATAAACTCCAATAGCACAGAGACAGGTGGGACTATTGTTTATAAACTTTATAACATGACATATTAGTGTTATGGAATCTTATGAATACTTTTATAGCTGGTTAGTTAAGGCTGTGGTACGTTTATACGCTGGCTGTGATTGATGTCATACAAAATATTGAACGGGAGGAATTACTTGCTGATGTTCATTTGATAGCTATTGGATTTAATTCTGTAATGATAATTTTTTTTCATTCTATTAGAATGTTTGTTTGCAAATTTATGTATGTTTGTTAAAGATAACAGGGGATAGAATGCTATCCTACGACATAGGCGACACGCCGACATGTACACTTCACAATATTAACAGCAGTTTAGTATTGCTACAATCAGCGCTGGATTAACAATTAAACAATATAAGCACGTGCCTAGGGCATCAAGCAAAGAGGGGCACCACAGAAATTTTTATAGCATAATTTTATATAGTTTATCGGTGTTTATCAAAATATTACAAGTTAACCAGACGACTCTAACTTCAAAATGTTTGCTTATTTTTCGTCTTCAAGCATCATATTAACCTTCTTTATTAAAAATAAACACTGAAACCTATTTATTGGACACGAAATGGGCTTATGAGTCGTTTTCTTAAATTGTTATTGTTTTTTCTTTCTAGTATTCTCTTCTTGTTGCTGCATTTTGTTTTAAAAAAATTCTTCTTTTCTCTTCAACTATACAACCAATGAGCTATTTGCACTATGTGTTGGTTCCGCGATCGCAATTCAACTAGCTAGCGGTCAGAGAAGTCGGGAGTATTTTGATAAGGTAGACCTGGGTGGTCCTAACCCTGTCATGCTGATACATTCCGTGCGGACCGCGAAACAATTTTAGCTCATACTTGTATCTAATAGCAGAACGATTTTTTCTAGCTATTCTAACTGGGGTTGTGATCTAGAGATTCAAACCCCTTTTTTTCTAACGTTTTGTGCCTTTATTTTAGAAAAAACACTCCTCTGTTTTCAAGCGTGGGCCATGTGACATTAGTGAAGAAACGCAGAGCCGACTTAACGCCGCGCAATCTAGTTTTTTAGCTAGATCCCGAAATATCAACTTAGACGGACTTGGTTGTTATTTGACGATGGTACTAAGCTTGCTCACGCTGTTTTTAAATTATATAAAATAAAACATTTCGCAATAAAAATGAGTGTCAAAAAAAAACGTGACATAAGGAAAACAAGGCGGAAACGTATTTCCTTGCCCACCACACAGTGTCTGGTTTGCTTTCAAGTGATATCTGTCACGAAAGAATATAATTTAAAGCGACATTAACGCGAGATGCGGAAAATACAACGGTAATTCTCGGGAATTCATTTTAAAAATAACTGAAGGCGTTATATATATTCTCTTCAAAAAAAGACACCCATGCAACATAATAATAGTCTGATTAGAACGGTAAACTCTCGTTGTTTATGAAATTTGAAGTAAGTAAACTCACAATATTTCGATCAATTTGGGGTTTTCTCCGAATTGCGGCTCGCGAGACCTCTAAAGAGTAAGATGCAGCGATAGCCTGCTCAATGGTCAGTGCTAGTATATTAAAAGTTCATGTCCCAAGTTCAGGAGTATAAAAAGAAAGTAGGATAAACAGTTTACCAAAAAATTAGGACACTCGATTGTGTGATAGTTACATTTACGATGCTATCTACTATGCTCATCATGAATTTAAATGGGTTTACTAACTTTTGTTGCCCAGTATGGCCCTCCACCTGACTTCCATAATTTGCCTGGTGAGCGATTACTGAATTATAAAATCGCCGACTAAAGGCGACTGGAATTGTTTTAATGACCTGGGTTAAATAAGTATACCGTACATACACACATCAATGTGAAAGTTAAAAGCCTCAAAAGTGCAAATCTCAGGCTTCAACATCCAAGATATAAAAATATTGTTTTCTCATTTTCAGAGATTTTCTCTTTGGAAGAGTTTCTGAGTGATATTAACTTGATCAAAAACGAGGCTCTATTCAAACGAGAAAGAATATCTTTGGAATTATTGAATAAAATGAGCTACGAGGATCTGAAGGATGTTGGGATTACGCAGGAAAAGGACAAGAAATCCTTTAAAGGTGCACTTGCAGTAATGGAGAGCATGCTATATTGTAATGTTTCTCAGGATGCCCCTGTGGCTACTCATTCTGCATCTTGTAATGTGCCTTACTATGCCCCTGTGGCTCCTGATTCCCCCTAATAATTTAGTATAATCGTGATACATTAGCTATTAATTAGTTTACTACTACTGTAATATTAGATTAGACCATACGAATCGGCATTTACTTTGTCTCAGTACGCATAGTAGTCACTGAATTTTTATATAAATGTGAATAACATTGCCACTTTCTCTCTGTAAATAGTAGTCCCTTCAAGTAATCATAACCTATAATATGAAAATGATTGAGTGCACTTTTTTAATTACTGTTATATATGTTAATTTTGATATATGGAATTTTGTGCATCATGAGCTAACATTTCTTTTACACTTTGTTTTTGATTAGCTCGAGTGTGGTTTAGTGTTAAATATGAGAAAATATGAAGTTTTTGTGAAGGATAACTTGCTAACTTTATATTCAACTTTTGTTTGTAATAGTAAATTTTCCACCAGTAAAAAGTAGCATGCAAAATTGAAAAAAAGAACACAATTCACCGGAGAAGGGAAGCCATGAAGGATCTAAACTGGTCTATTATCTATGTATTAAACTTATATGTTTTCTACTTTCGCCTCACTTTGTTGATTATGCAATGCAGGCGTGATGTAGTTAAGCTATGGCTAGTTGGGGCGGTGAGATTTATATTTTTTTATGTTGCGGAAATTTAACCAATCTTATAGGTATGTTTTGGAGTTGAAACGTAAACAAGTTTCACATACTATATCAGAATGGTCTAAACCCAGGCTCGCGGGACACATGTGGCCCCGCAGCATCACCATCTTTGGCCACAAAATAACATTTTGTGTTGTTTCGTCATAAAAAATACCCAGCAAAAGCTTTTGAGAGATTGTTACATCACTAATGTCATTGAGTTTCTGTAGCTAGCTGAGACAACTAGCGAAGTTGAATAGAGTGCTTGTCTAGCCTGAATTGATAACTAAATTTCTATTATTTCGGTGGGTGATATCTGCTAATGATATTTCAGAAAACCATGCAACTATACTGAAATTTTATAGCAGCGAGCTGTTTATTGCTATGATGCCAAGGTAAACGTTGCGCGTGGTTTACTCACAGCGCTAACTTTGCTGTCATGCGGCAAATAAGATAAAAGGCAAATTGTTCCGCTATGAATTTCAATGTTTAAGCCCGATTCGAGTACAGTGTTTTTACTAATCATGAGAGCATTTTAACAGTATTGTTTTTAAATTTACAACCTATTTCTAGTCGTGTGTCTTCCGTTTTTCACTGCTATTCTATATCAATTATTCAGATTGCTCATGTAGGGCATTTATATCCCGTGTTCTAATCCTCATTTGAAATTTTTGCAGCTTTCCCGCAAGCTGTTCTTTCCTGCGTATTTATATTGCAAAATAATAATACTATCCCATATATGTATTTGTGATGCGTTACTGTCGGAATACGTACCATGAAACAGACGTAAAACCCAGGTCAGCGAGCGTGGCAGAAAACGGGAAAATCTGCCGAGCAATACATACAAAGAAAAGAAAAAAACGAGATTTCATTTGACAATACTGTAGCTAGTGCTGGTAGAATCACATTGATAGAAATTCCATACTTCTATCGCTTGTCTATCAAGGTTTCAACGCGGCCAATAGCGTCTGAGAGTGCTCCGATTTCTATGTTAATTTCACTATTTTGATTTCGAATCAATTTATTCAGTTTGATTGTTTTTTGATTGTTTACATTATAGATACCTACATATAAATATTCAATACTGCACTTCGCAACCGTATGTATGTATGAACGGTATGCATTTTATATTTTACGTGATGTTTATTGAGCCTGCTGTAGTTTGTATTCGACATGGCAAGCGTTTCAGTTGTATAAGAAAAGATTGTAACAAGGGACAAATATCTCGTGAATTTGACCTAGTGACGATGAGGTCATTATTAATGAAAAGGAGAAGGTACCCAGTATTAGGCCAATAATAGAATTCTGAGACGAAAAGAAATTCATGTTTTATAATTTTTTTTACAAATTAAAAACTTATTAAAGAATCTGTTGAGACAGAAAGTTGATCTTTATTCCGCAATGTCATACTTATGACATTCCAAGTCACAATATCCTTGCATTCCCTCAAGTGCTTGCTTAATGGCTTTTCTATCATTTTCCTGCCTGATTCCAATATCCTTGAAATCTTGATCCTTCATTGCATTCAGTAATTCCATCGATATTCTTTCTTGCTTGAATAGAGGCTTGAAATTGATCATGCCAATTTTCTCCAGTAGCTCATCAACAGCAAAGTTTTCTAAAATTAAAAAAATTTGAAATTGAATTCCAATATCTAGGTTTTTTCAAATTCTGGAATGTCCTTCAACCCCATTGCAAGCACAAATTCCAATTCACATTTCAGGAAGAAAATAAACAACACATTAAATTAGATCGACTAAATGTCACATAAACATAATTACAAAAAAAGAATCCATTATTATTGAAAAGATAACTCAATTGAGTGGGCAACCTCTGGCACGCATGTCGATCTTGGCACGCGAGCTCATTTATTCGGCACACGTCTGAGGCCTAGGATATGAGATCATTCTCCTTAAAGCACGTTTCAAGACTGATAAAACTACCTTCATTCATTATTGTTTGTGACCAATTTGTTGTTTATATGGATTCTTTTTGTCCGTTCATGACATATGGCTACAAATAAATATATTATGACATAACAACTGAGTGAGTTCGTGACAATTTTGGTCGGCACGCGGAATAACTTTGTCATTAAATTTAGCCGATTTTGTCACGCAAGCCGAAAAAAGGTTGCCCACCTCTAGTCTAGGCCATAGTTGGTTCGAGGGCCGCAGGCTGCACACCCCTGGATTACATAATTCAGATTTCAGAGACTCAATTATTGCAAGTGGGTTCCTCAAAATATCTCATTGGAACCAAAAATGTTGAAATGCACTTATTTAGGATATTCAAAAGTTGGTGCTCCCGAAGTATGTGAACCAAGGTGGCGCACAACACAGTATGTGTACCAGGTTAGGGTTATCAGGTTGTGCGCTATCTTGGTGCACATACCTCTTGAGTCTGGAGTGTCCAAAATTTTGACCCATTGGCTTCTTTGTTATTGTAATATGTCTTATTTATAATCCTGGACTTACCTTTCTTTTCTGCGCTGGAACTTATGAAAGGAGATTTACAACTCTCCACAGCATTCATAATTCTGATCCTGTCACCTACTGTTTTGACGCTGAACTCTCCAAGTTTCTCTTTATTCAGCTGAGCAAAATCTTTAACACTTTTAATACCAAACTTTTCCAAAAAAGGCCAATAGTTGTCAACATTATGTTTTTCTAGAATTCCTCGAACAGTTGGTTCTCCTGAAACACAGGGAACAAAATTTTATTAGGGGTTTTATATTATTGGAGGAAGAGGAAAGTTGATGATTTCATTCAAATGTTCCTCATTTTAGTTCTATAACGAGTTCGGGGACTGTCTATGCTGGCCAATTGAATATACCACCTACCCATAGGCTTCGGTCTCTTCACACAATTTGATGTAAAATAGGCGCCCTACCCCTTGGAGGACTAGCCAAGTGACTCCCGTAATATTTGCACCTAACCCCTACTATGTTGCCGTGTCCGTCATCTAGGTTCACATACTTCAGGAGTACCAAGTCGATAAGGTAAGAATCTATATATATAGAATTTACATATTTATCCCTTGAAAGAAGAAAGCTGGTTTAATCATACAGCGAAGAGCGAACCACGGCAGCTCGTTTGGTTATGAGTGTCGTGTTAGCCAAGTGAATATCCCCCGCCCATAGGCTTCAGCCCCTTTACACAACTTGATGTAAAATAGGCAAACAAAATTAATTACCTCCATATTGATACACCTACTTCTGGAGCGCCATAATTTTCTCCTCATACAAAATGACCATAATTTTATTTCATACAGAATGCTTACCGGGCTTTAATGGTAGGGAAGGCATTGTATTGAAATTCAAAGTTTTTTTCGTCTGATTGACCAGAGGTTTAGTGTCTTGTTGTTTGGTCCGTTCTAATTCTGTACTTGGTACTGAACGAATAAAAATTGAATTAATATGATGAAATTTCATATTTAAGACAATAGATAGAAAAGACAATCCAATAATATAAACCACCGCTTCTTGTCCAGTTAAGAGACTATGTTGGGCATGGCATTAGTTATCCAGGTAATTATTTCAGATGCTTGGACTTGTGAGTGGAACAAGCCAAAACTAACTACCCTACGACGAAGGAGAGTCCAGCAATCCTATCACTCATAATTATCCCTGTATGGGATTTGAACTTGCGCACCCCGTCAGATGTGCAATGGCAAGCATATTCTTAACGCTTAAGACGATGCGCCAACCACTGAGCTAGAACTAGGGTAGTAATGACGGTACTCCCGAAGTATGTGAACCAACATGGCGGACACCGTAACGAAGTATGTGTACCAGGTTAAGTTAGGTCATATATTCCGGTACAAATACTATGTGAGTCACTTGGCTAGTCCCAGAACTTGTAATAGGACTAAAATAAGGAAAATTGGAATAAAATTATGGCCTAATCCTAACCTGGTACACATACTACGTTCCGTTGTCCGCCATCTTGGTTCACATACTTCAGGACAGGAGTACCGAACTAGGGTTGCAATGGCACCACTTGGCATTTAACCTCAGCACTAAGTAGATGCAGTTTGAACAAGGATGTGTCCACTGTTCCCTATATTTCAAAATAAAAAAATTGAACTTATTCACCGTACATTGAGGTCTGGTTACTGTCGGGATTTCACTATTTTTTTCAGCATCCACATCTTCATATAGGTTATCATCATCATCCCATTCATCATCATCAAAATCGTCTAATATAAAAAAATTTTTTTAAGCAGTTACAGTAAAGATGTTTGTTTCAGTACACATAGCAGATAGAACTCCTTGATTCTGTAATATACCAACAAGATGCATGGCACAGTGGTGAAAGTGTTGTAACTATGACAAGTTTAATTCCATTAACCGTAATATCAAAACGATCTTGAAATTATTGCCTCATAGAATGACCTTTCTCTGCCTGACAACCTTTGGCGCTCCCGTAGTATGTGCACCAAGATGCACACAACCTGAACCCTAAACTGGTACACATACTGTGTTCAGGTTGTGCGCCATCTTGGTGCACATACTGCTGGAGCACCCAATCTTTACCCGAAGTGCTTCATTCATGTCGCAGGTTCATTGCAATTCCTCTATCAGTAATGTGCTCACCCAAACTCTCAATATTTAAAAAAATGTGCTTGGGAAGTTAGCGCATATACGAATAATTTCTAATTTTATTAAATAAATTGTTAATACAACACTCACCGGGTCTCATTGGTAAAAGTGTAGGATTGTTGACAGGTAAAGGTGGAGGATTGTAAATTGAAGTCCTGGGTCTGGGAATCGGAGATTGTCTGAGCAGTATATCATCATATTGTTCGATTTCAGGCCTTCGTGTAACTCCTACTGGCACTGAATATTAAGTTAATGAATCAGTACAAAATAAAAACATCATAAATGGGAAAGTTCGACGTAAAGCAAAGTTCCTTATCAGAAGCAAATTTTCAATTTTCCACTTAATTATTTTGCGATATCATAGTCTGTAACTGTTAAAAGAGTGAAATGCAGATAGAACCTAAGACATCGTTAGCAAGACTATTAAGTCCCATGCAAACTGGCAGCCACTGATACATCTGAAGCACTTTCAGTGAAGTCTGCTAGATAAAATCAACGTTTGTACCTTTCGGTTGAGTTTCTATCGGGATTTCATATACTTCGTCAATTTCATCATACAGCTGATCAGCAGTCGGAACTAAAAGTAGACATTTAAGACGAGTAAGGCTAAGTAATACAATCAGTGCTTGTAGCTTGAAAAGGGTTTGATGAGGATTAAATCGAAACAATTTTTTTATTAATTTTAATCAGGTTCAAATATCCCTGAAATAAAGCATAAATGACATTTAACAAGATAAATTTTATACTGCACAATTTGACATATTCCACTTTAAGGCAATCTCATCAGTGACCTAACCTCTAGAACAATTAAAATATAAATAGAGACGGCATTGGACTCCCCTATGCTCAATAAAACAAATTGAAAAATAAATGTCACCACCAACTTCTCCTCCTTGCCTTTGATTTGTATAAGATGGTTGTGGTTTTGATGGGTCTCCACCTGTATAAATAGATTGAAGAATATTCAAAACCAATACAAATATCACGGCGCGGCGGTGTTGGTCATTGTCCTAAGCGTTAGGAATGCCTCTGATTACTCTGCGTGAGTTCGCATACCATGTGGGGATAATTAAGTGCGAGAGGATTGCTCAACTCCTCACCGCCGTAGGGTGGGTCACGTAACCGCTGGTTGGTTACGGATTCCTACACCATCAAGTCCGTGCTTCCGAAATCAAATAACTAACTAATCCCATACCCGACATGGAATGGTAACCGGGCGAGAGGCTGTGATTCGCCATATGGTTAAGTCGTCTTATCGGCTTTCCTATCCCAGAGATAAATATGTAAATCATATCCTGTTTGACAAATAGGACTTATTACAAACCTGCATACAAATCTTCATACTCCAGTGTCACCTGGAAAGGTGCTGTGTGGAGTATTTCATTGCCATTACTTATACGAAGTTGCAATAAGTGAAAACCACCACGTTGAGCTAACAATGTAACGGATTGTTGGACACTTTTCTGATTTTTAAGATCGATGTAGGAAAGATTCTTTCCCTCTCCAGGTTTGACTTTTACAGATCCACCTATCGACTCAATACTGCTGGTACATGATGACCAACGAGGGAGCCGAACCTCATGGTTTGGAATACCTTGCTGGATGCATTGATATCCACCAGAAATTAACTGGTGACGCTCATTGGTGGTGTCTGCCAATGAATAAATCACAATAATCCATGAACCCTTAGTAAGGATCTGATAGTTGACCAGAAATCTCTCTTCTGAAAAAGTAAAAAAGTCACGGAAGTGAACTCAACTATGGTTTAATGGAAATTTGAACTAGTCAGTGTTAACATGCTCGTCTCAGTAGACAATTTATAATAAAGGAAGTGAATTAGGCATTCACTCCATAATTTAACAGGCTAAGAATTGAAGAGCTAAGAAAAGAAAGAAAAATGGGTCTAAAGAAGTACACGCCGTGAGTGGTTAAATAACGTCAAACAAAAATATTTTCACAACACATTTTTGTTTAGTGTTATTTAAAGAGTTCCGACGTTTACTGCGCTAGACCCAAGAATAGTTTTGCCACTATCTGACTATGTAATTCAACCCCATACAACGTTTTTGCTTCAACATCAGAGCAATTTTAAAACAAATTCTCATCTATCGAACTGGCTGATTAAAACCAATCACATGGTTAGATTGAAGACTGGTCTGCTGGTAGACCAAGGCTGAAATTTGTGGAAATTATCCAAGAATATTTACCAGGTTTCAATTGTTGTTGCTTATTATCTGGTTCGGTTTCATTTGTGATGGACACCCCGGCATCCTGCACAGCAAAGTTTAAACCTTAAAAAATGATTTCACATTGATTAACATTTAACACACCAGTGACATCCAGTACAACATGACTAGCTAGCGCCAGCATACAGACATAATCATGACCAATTACTGCATTGTCCTGATAGAAAATAACAAATTATGCAATGCTTCTTCCATTGGCTAAACAGTCATTGGATTTACATATTCATCCCGGGAAGACGAAAGGGTTAAGACGGCCTAAACATATGGCAAACAAATGCCTCTGGTCTAGTTAACGAGGTCTATTATAGTTTAGTACCACTACTACTTCCAGTGGGCGTAGTATAACAAATTTTGCATATGGCAGGGTGATCCAAGGTTGTCGACCTCGCAGGCCACACTATTATTTTTGTATTGTTCGCGGGCCACAATAGTGCCAAGAATATGTAAACAGTGCAATACAAAACAAACACCCTATTGTCAAATATATTGATCATTATTTGACATTTTTTTAAGCTAAAGCATGCAAAAACCACAAAAAAACTCACTAAAATGTGCAAAAATCTTACTATATCTACATTTAGTGTAAAATTTCAAACCTTTCATAACGGAGAAAGTGTCAAAATTGCTTTTTTGACGAAACAACACCAAATGCGATTTTTTGTTTACCCTCGCGCAAATGCGACGCGGGCCACAGATAATGAAGAGGCGGGCCACACGTGGCCCGCGGGCCTGTGTTTGGAACACTCTGGAATATGGTATTCCTAACCCCCACCTGACTACGCCATCCAAAAATTACGTCACCACGACGTCGCAAACAGGTCATAGTGCTTACCAAACTATAGCAACAATTGTCCAATTACACCAGCGATCTCTCTCATATCGAGATTACGGGGACAAAACGAGAGAAACAGCTTGCCGATTTTCGGTGATCGTCTGCACGTTTTGGACGACTATTCGCATATTTTAGGAGAGCCTCATTCGAATATGATAGGATATACATATATATCCCGGGGGAGATGAAAGCCTATAAGATGGCTCAACCATATGGCAAACCACGGCCTCTTGTACGGTTACCATTCCATGTCGGGTACGGGATTCGTTACTTATTTTTTTATTATTTTTCGGAAGAATGGACTTGATGGTGGAGGAATCCGTAACCGACCAGCGGCTACGTGAACCACCCTACGGCGGCGAGGGGTCCAGTAATCCTCTCGCACATGTCCATCCCCGCATGGGAATCCGAACCTGCGAACCCACGCAGAGTAATCAGAGGTGCGGTGGCGAGCGTATTCCTAACGCTTAGCATGACGAGCCACACCGCCGCTACCGTACTGCAGTACCGGGGCTCAGTTGGGGGTTAGGAATATTTTACTAATAAAATCGTTATGATACTCTCACTACAAGTACGGTACTTGAGGGCGCGTACTTCCAGATTTCAGCATACCCTATAGATTGCTATTACAGTATTAGCCCATTTGTTTCAGATGCGTGGATTTGGTGGTGAAGAAAGCCGGTGTGATTAGGCATTTATTTTTATGGCCACAATGTGGATTAATCAATAACTAAAATGAAAAGTAAAAATCTATAAATAAGCTCTTACCGTCACACAAATCATCAGATCCTAATGTCACATGGAATGGATCTGAGAGAAGAATTTCGTTTTCTCGTTTGAGACAGAGATTAAGCAGGTGACGACCACCGGAAGATGTCAGTAGTGTGACTTTATGCTGGATGCTCATCTGGTTTTTCAGGTCGATGTACAGTAAAGGCATTTCAAATCGTGGACTGACTTCCACAGACGGATCAGAAGACTCGATACTGCTGTTACATTCCGAAAATCGAGGCAACTGAACATCATAGTTCCGTACCCCGCTTTCAATACACTTATATCCACTAGCAGTGAATTTCTGACATGCATGCGCGGTGTCTTGTAATGAATAAATTACTACAACAAGTGGACCTTTCGTCAGAATCTGATATTTCACCAGAAATTTTCCCTCTGAAAAAATAATGTAACTCTTTTATCGCCTAAAATATACAGCTAAAGGAAGGACAATATTTACGTGATAAAATATTAGGCGAGTATTTTCATTGTTGGGAAGTTGTCCAAATTATCTAACATTTCATTGGTATAAAAACCACAATAGCGAACTGCGCAATAATCTAATTGGAAGTGCAATAACAACAAGTCGACATCCCATTCGGTGGGAAAAGCAGTACGATTTTACGAATGAAAAAGTCTACTGTAGCGCTCAAGAGGTATCAGCAAAAATATTCAGTTCGCGGACTTTTGCTGATGTCATAGTCTGAGCACGTTACTTTTCTGTGGACTTATAAATAAAAAGGAAATCGATTTATAGCTTATGCACCTCATTGTACATAAGTCTCGCGGCAAACACCGCGCGGTCATTCTCATCTCATGTGACGAACCTCGTTTAGCAAAGCGTAGGTATTTTTCATTCTCTATTTACTGTGTATTCCGATTCATAAAATCAACCATTTATTTCCAATGGCTTTCAATAATGCTCTAAATTCCATCGACACTGTTACTCGCGGATCGCCATACATCAGGGAAAATTGTTGTGTAACCAATAAAAAATAATATGTATGCTCACCTGGTCGCATTGATTTGCTGGGGATGACTGGTTTTTGGGTGTCACTTGGCGACAATTGACTTGTGCTCCCTGCTCTACGGATGTCTGGCACTGTATGTAAATATGTAGGGTTTATATGGTATGCTAGTGGAACAAGATATTAATAATTACTGATGTCTTTATGATTTACCTGTGTTTGTTTTCTCTTCCAATGTGACATGGAAAGGATGTGTGTGGATATTACTGTCGCCACTCCGATAACGAAGCTGTAATAAGTGATCACCAGCATGGGGCGCCTGTAATGTTACTTTGTAGTGGATGCTATTCTGCTTTTTTAGATCGCTGTACAATATGGGCCTTTCGTCGGAAGGTTTGACTTCTGCTGAACCGGTAATAGACTCAATGTTGACAGTCGTCTTCTTTGGCAATCGAACTTCGTAGTTGGGAACCCCGTGGTCGACCTGTTTGTATCCACTAACGATATACTGCTGACATTCATTACTTGTATCCGCCAAGGATAAGACAACTATCACAAATGGGGTTTTTGCGAGAATCTGATATTTCACAACAAATCTTTCGTCTAAATAAATGTTTTAAAATATTTGTTGATAATTTTACTTCGACGATAATAAGATGTACATATTGTTGTCTTATTCGTAATAATAGGAGTCTGCATTGCAAGCATGTCTAGAAAAATTCGCCGCAGTAAATTTTGCCGTAGGAAATCTCGACACAGGAAATTTCGTAGCATAGGAAAACTTGCCACATGAAAAATCGCTGCAAGAGCATTTTGCTGTAAAACAAGTTTTTTTGATAAAAACAGGTTGTTGAAGTATCTTTTTATTTAAAAAGAATTCGTTATTTAAGAGCATACCCTAACCTTATGAAGCTAACTGTTTTTATCACAAATATCTGTTTTAATGCAAATTGCGGTAATTTTTCATGCGGCGAATTTTCCTATGACTGAATTTCCTGCGGCGAGATTTTCATCGGCGAAATTTTCTGCGCAAATTTTCCGGACACGATATAAAATATTGTAAAATTTTCGTATTCATTTTTATATTACAACTCACCTCTTTTATGCCATGATCGTAACACTTTTGAAAACATGCTTTTTGATTATCACATTTTATCTAAATTCTAGGCAGCTATTATACTGTGAATAAATATCAAAGTTTACTCAGAAAAATAATAATATATAGAGGAATTTAAATACTAATTCTGTGGTTTTAAAAATAAAGAATATTACGGCCAGTACAAGATGTGGATAGCGTCGTGAGGTATAAATATATTAATGACAAGGAAGAGAGATGGAGAGGTTTACAAACAATATCAACATTTACAAAAGATATAAAGCAATAATGAAAACTTGTATATGAATACCCAATTTAGACATTATTTTGCATAGATCAGTATTCAGACTACGCTTTTTGCAAACTTGCTAGTTTATTACGATTCCATTAGTCTGCCTATATGCTATGCCTGTGTAATAGATCTCCTATGCAAAATGTAGAATCAATAGTGACGTGATGTCTCGAGAAATTTATTAGCCAACTGTAACTTCACAAAGCTTCAATTACTGCTGTCGAATGAACCTCAATTATCGGGAAGTTATTTTACAAGGCAATATTTACAAGCTAGGTGCCCGGCTAACCAAATAATAGAACAATGGACTCTAAAATGAAGCACGAGACTTCAAATTACATAACAGCGTGGGTGTACTGCTTACTACGAAAGTTTTTCTTTTTCTATCTCTCGTCCCCGAATCCAAGTACACCAATGTTATTATCACCTGTTTTACATTACAATAGTCTTTTCATAACAGATATTGTTTTTTTATAAAGGGCACAGAGGTCATATCAAGCATAGCGGGCAAACCCTTTTTAAAACCCCGGCAGAGCGTGTGGATGACGAATCATTTTAATTGGATTCACAAATATCAGAACCCCGACAAGGCGTTTTAATGACGAACTATATAATTGGATTTATAAATATATTATTGAGGAAGTTAACTATGCTGTTATGGAGGTACTAATAACCCGCTATTTGATACCAAGTGGATCTATGCAATGGCTTATCATACGTCCCGGTTTAGCCGCGAGAGTTTCAATTTTAACAAGATGTCCGAAGTCCCGCCCGGTAGACTTATATGTCCCGGCCATGCAGTATTACAGTTATTTATATATATTTTTATTTTATTTAATATCACTAAAATATTTTTTTTTTCTGGGGAGCAGTCCATTTATCACTGATTTGCGAGTCACTTTACTAGAGCAAGGAGGCTCATTGGTGAGAGAGAGAGACTACTATATTGTTATGTAATAATTATTATATATACGATATATATATACTATTACGTCAATTTAGTATCTAACATTAGCTGTTCCTCAGATAAGTTATTCAAAATGCGATTTCTATAATTTTAATATTATTACTAATATTCATATGAGTTGGATACTACTAAGTCTTGAAAACTAATCAAGGTTTGTCCAATTCGCACTGTCCCGATTTTTTGTTTCATATATAGAACATGTATCTTTCGAATAATTGCTGTCAAAAAAAAAGATTTTCTCCGCAACTAATCGTGTCCAAATTTGCAATACTTGAAAATAGAAAAAGTTGCCGGAAGGAGATTTTTCAATTCACCAAAATTTTTGTTGTTTCATTTAAAAAGAGCACAAACTATTATTTTGCCACGAATTTCACTAAATATGCTTACTTTAATTATATCAATATTTCCGAAGGTATTGGACGCGATCCAAAAATGGGTCGTGCAAACAAAATCCTGGAAGTTAACACAATCCTGAAAGTTACTGATTTTATTTTCTAGTAATTCTTTGTTATTTTTCATTTGATATTAGAGTGTTACCCAATATATATGTGAAAAGCATCACGGAGTTAAAACCTGGCGTTATCTATTTTGCAAAGTGAAGCCATGTCACAATTTCATAAAAAAAAGACTCACGGCCTACAAGCGAAGCTTTGAATTGAAATGAATGTTATGTAAAAATGATTGTTTTATATTAGTAATTTAACGTTGCGGCCTTAAAAGCACTGTGTACCGTCTAGTATTTGATCATGTCATTGGCGAGATTTTCCAAAATACATATTTACAAAATTATGGATTTCTTGAAAAAAGTTTGAGAACCTCTGCCTAAAGCCCAAAACCATTGGTTTTCAAATGGTGGTGAACGTCCCACAAGGGTGACATATACGATTTTCGAGGGAACCTGAAGCTAAAAAAAGAAATATATTTGATCTCGCCCACTCATTTTGGACATTTACATTTCTTTATTTCGGTTATTTACGTTTCATACGAGTATTTTCAATGTGTTTTTCTAATAAAACATACTTTCGCCTTAATATCTATTATTTGTAGATTATTGACAAATTCCAAAAAGTGGGCGCGGCTTAAAATTGAGAATCACTGGACTAAACAATCATCTATTTTTTTTCTTATTCATTCATTCAAATCTAAAACTCCAAGGTACCTAAGAACAACGGTTTTTTGAAAAGATCACACTATCCCACATTTTCGATGTGAAATTTCGTTCCACAGAACGTTTTTATATAGACGATAATACATCGAAACCCCTCAAGACACTATTTCTCACCAAATGAGTACTGACTTTACTTCACATTTTCTCTCGAATAAGCTAGGTTTAGGACCCTGAGGGGAAATTTCCAATCAAAAACTTTCAACCCCCGTAGTTACAATCTCCTGTTATCACTACGTCTAATACAGTAAACAGTTTATACTCGAAAGGTTCCTATTGTAAATACTCGTAACTTCTATACACACACTGTATAAGCGAAACCCTTACATACGTGACTGCCTGAGACCGTAAATCCGCTGACGCAAATTGACAGTTTGCTCATGCCTGTAGATGGAATCATGGAATATTTCGCTCGTATAGATTCCATATAAATCATTTACAAAATCCGATGTATTTTTAAAAAAGTGATTGCAAAGCAAACAATTAAATTATATCCTGAACGAGAAGCTGTAAATCAATTTGCTTATGAAGAGCGGGGCACATGCTATTAAAGCTGTTATTTTTTTCTTTTTGATGAAATTCCAAATATTCAATAAGCGAAGGAATTTGAAACGCAAATTTGCATGGGCTGATTTGATATACCATATATCAAGGCAAATGTATTTGTTCTAAACTGAAAGACGGATCTTTTGTACAAAACCACTAATGAAAATATGTGAGATTTTAGAAATTAGTAATTTTAAAATTAGTAATTATCCATGCAGTTGGAGTTAGAAAGGATTTGAAAATTTCCAGTGCTATCTATATTTCTAACCCTAACTGGATAATTACTCATTTTTCTTATTTCGGGCGGTGGCGTTTTTTTGGCAGGGGCTTTGAACAAAATATCCCTACGTGTAAGCAAAACAAACTTCGGCGATAGGTACCGGAACCTAAAATTAATTACCGTATATGTAATGGCATCATTTACTAAGAAACGGAGTGGGTCGAAAGTCAGTCGCATCCTCAACGAGACTTTTTTTTTAAATTAAAATTAATTATTTTCAGTGCGCTATCCGCTCTAGTGTTTACGTACTATATAGACAACTTTGAGCATTTTAGTCAAAACTTGTAATATTGCGGCAGCCACTGTCAAAAATTGAGAAATATGTTCAAGAACAAAAAATCATACTCTTATATCAGCAATGTTTTGAGCCGTTCTTATGAAAAAAGATTCTAATTAAGTAAAATGGTGCTTTAGGGCAGGGGTGTGCAAACTCCGACCCGCGGCCCAAATGTAGCCAGCGGAAAAAAATGTGCGGCTACCAGGAGAAGTACCAATTTTGCAAGGTGTGTCCGTGAAACGAGTTTTTAGTTTAGTTAATCGGTTGCTTATATCTGACCCTCATGTAATGAAGGTTGCACACCTCTACCTCTACTAGAGCATTAGCCCATAATATTGACATTTCACGTGTCGAGATATCTCGGGATAACCTCTCTCGTCAATGTTCAAACAGTATTTAAAGTCGACCAAATCCACTCTGGGATTCCCCTATATTTTTTGACTGTTGCTTTCCCGGGTGGCAAATAGCATATTCACGAAATGTTTGCTTTGCCACCATTACGAGCAGTATTTCTATTATATGTCAATATTGCGCCATTTGTATTAGTTCAAGCATTCTATTTTGGTAACTTTTCTGGGGATGGTGCCGTTTATTTGATGTGATTAAACTAGTTAATTTATTGGGTTTATACTGTATCTGTAGGACCCACGTTAACCATAAAACACGCCTGGGCACGCAATACCAAAATACCCAAATCAATATACCGCCGTTGACATCTGCCCTGGTGTTCAGAATTTTTGAATAACCCTTTGAACTGAAAAGGGTTTGCACGTATGCGCACCCTGCAGTCGTTTATTTGGGATCTAGTGCAGTGCCCATTGACCGGTACTCCCGTAGTATGTGTACCAGGTTAGGGTTGGGCCATAATTTTATTCCGATTCCCTTATTTTAGTTCTATTACGGGTTCGGAGACTGTTTGTGTTAGCCAAATGAATATACCCCCTGCCCATAGGCTTCAGTCCTTTTACACAACTTGATGTAAAATAGGCAAACAAAATTAGTTACCACCATATTGGTACACATACTCCTGCAGCGCGCATTGATCAAAAAAAGTGTCAGCAATGAAATGGAGACTTCGTAATACCGCCCTGGCCGCGGTTAAACAGTGTCAATTCCCTGGAAATTTATTATAGTAGTTTAATAATTACTTTAATTGTAAACGTATATATACTAATGCGAAGAAAACTTTACCCATCGCGTAGACAGTCACTTTCCCACGAAAGCCCGAACTTGACAGAAGTGGCTTCGTATGCGTTGATCCACTAGATTACAGTGTGGCCCAAGCTTGATGGCCTCGCGGGTCACACTATTATTTTTAATGTGTTCGCGTACCACAAGAGTGTAACTTCTAAATAACTGCAGATTGATTGAATATCGAATTTTACCAAATTTGAGATACAGGAGGGTAATTACTAAACTTTCTGACATATACATAGGCAACATTTTTTGTAATACAGTTTGGGCTGATTACGAAAATCCACCCAACGGGAATTTTATTGTTCGGCCATAATATTAATATTTAGTTATCAGGCATTACCAACCTAGGCTAATAGATTATTCATTAGATTTTTAGTTATTTATGAAGCCTAT